AACTAGCCCAATGCTGAACACGGCTAATGTCAAATGCTGATTTTGTATGCAAATGTTTTGGATTGTGATTTGAACACAGTTAAAAATAAAAAAAAGTGAATTGACTATTCTTGTGTATTTAATTTGAATCCTAAAAATTAATAGTAAATGCATAATGAATCAGTTTGTTTTATTTTGTTTAGTAAACTAAAAAAATCTTGTTGGGTAAACATAATCATTTTTGTTCAGTAAACAAAAGATCTTGTTGAATAAACGTGAAAATTTTTGTTCAGCAAACAAAAGATCTTGTTGAGTAAACATGATAATATTTGTTCAGCAAACAAAAATATCTTGTTGGGTGAACATGACATTTTTTGTTCAGCAAACAAAAATATCCTGTTGGTTGAACATGATATTTTTTGTTCAGCAAACAAAAATGTCTTGTTGAATGAACATGATATTTTTTGTTCAGCAAACAAAAATATCCTGTTGGTTGAACATGATATTTTTTGTTCAGCAAACAAAAATATCTTGTTGGGTGAACATGATACTTTTTGTTCAGAGAACTAAAGAATTCAACAAAATATTTTGAGTTCACTGGTCTTCAAACCCTGTTTGTTGAGTTAACTCAAAAAGCTATGTGTGATAGGTTGCCTAATTATTTTAAGTTTACTCAACTTTTTTTTTTTACAGTGTGAGAAGATAAAAAAATTCTGTGCATTAATTAATATAACCAAGCACAACTTTTAATAACGCATTAGTAAATGTAGAACTGTGATTAATGAATGCTGCTGTTTGTTCTTGTTAGTAAATACATTAACCAGTTAAACTGTTGACAGTGTAATAGTGTAGCAACTACACTGTAAAGAAATCTGATTGCCTTAAATTTTTAAGCTGAATCAAATTAACCTTATGAGTCCATTGAACTTATATTATGTTAAACTGACTTGCATAACTCATGAAATTAAGTTAAAACATGATTAACTTAGTTTAATATGTTACAATGATATAAAAACATATGCTGTCAGGACTAAATTATTATACCATTTTTTACAGTGTACAAAAAACATGTTCGTTTTCTTTATTTCTTTTTTTTGTAATACTTAAAAGTTTTTTGTTTTATCTGAAGTAAAGCCATGGTAAATTTAATAACAATAATAATACTAATATGTTATTTATTAAAAGAAACTATACTTAAAATAATTATATTATTCAAATAATTCAAGAATTGCTGAATTCAGTGCATTAACTAATATTAACAAGCACAACTTAATTAATAATGCATTAGTAAATGTTGAACTGTGATTAATAAACGCTGTAAGAGTATTGTTCGTTCTTGTTACATGTTGGTAAATAAACTATTAGTAGTGTAGTGAAACAGTACATTCGTGATAACAAAACCATTATCTTTTTCTTTATTTCTTTTTTGTTTCTTATATTAAAATGCTTTTTTTTTATCTGAAGTAAAACCATGGTAAATGTTGATAAGAAATGTTATAAAAATATGTACATGTTAATTTCCTCTCAAATGTGTGGAAAAGTGTTTCAATAACAATCATTTCTCTTTTAACAGTTATTGAGGAGAAGACGAAGAAAAAGAGCCGACTGGGGTCTTTCCTCAAATGTATAAAGAAACACCTCAGGATCTCCTGCCTCACATCCAATAAAGAGGATGGGAAGGAGGATGAGAAGATGGATAATGAAGAAGAGGAAGAGCAGAAACGGCTCCCTATCTTACAAGACTTGGACTCTGATGGTAAATGAACATACAAACATGAATATATTAGTCTATTATAGTATTTATAAATTGTATTCTTTGATTCCCCTTACACACATTTAACATCTTAATGACTGTGTAAAATGTTCAACCACTTCATTTCTCTTTTAACAGATGACTTCCTGCACTCAACAAGTGAGCCTCATCTCATCAGTTACAGCAATGATTCATAGAGAGCCTAGTGTGAAAGAGGATGGAGATTGAGAGGAGGAGGAGGAGATTAAAGAAGAGGGGGTGAAAGAGAACAAGAAGAAAAGGAGAAGGAGAAGAGAGAAAGAGGGGGAGAAAATGGAGGAGACACTGATGGAAAAGGAGGAGGTGGAAGACAAGATTACAGAGGAGGAAAGGATTAAAGAGGATGATGGAAGAAAAGGGACTATGAAAATAGAGGAGAAGATGGAGGAGACAATGATGGAGAAGGAAGAGGAGGAGGGCAAGTTTAAGGAGGGGAAAAAGAAGCGAAGGAAAAGGAGCAGGAGTAAAGAGGAGAAGAAAAATGAGGAGAAGAACATAGAAATGGCTGTGATGGAAGAGGAGGAGGCGATAAAAGAAACAGAAAAAAGAAAACAAGCAGCAGGATGAGATGAAGGATGATGAGGAGAAGAATGACGTGATGATGGAGGAGAAAAGAGAAAAACAATAAAAAAACAATAAAAATATTTGTGTCTGTTTGTTTTATTTATCTGCTCAAATATCTGTTTAAATTTGCACTCTTTGTGTCTGGTGTTAAAAAACAAACAAAAAAATATTTTTAAAAAGAAAATCAGTAGCAGCAAGAGCAGAAGGATGAGGAGGAGAAGTAAAATGAGGAGGATGAGATGATGATGGGAAAAACATTGAAAAAGTGCATTAAAAAATTTTTTTGTTTCTTGGTTTTGTTTAACACATGGTCATGACAAGTAGGGATGCAACCATGCTCTGTAAAAAAAAAAAAAAATAATCGCATCGTCACGTTGTCCTCCCATGGTTCGGTGCGCCCTATAATTGCCGGTTCAGAATATGCATTATTAATAATGGTTTGGTGATAAAAAACAACTGCAACAAAGCAACAAATTTCCACCTTTGTAAGCTTCCGATTACCTATTATGTCTGTGACCCGTCCAATCATCTCTTAGTATGTAAATCTGTTGTTGACAGCATTTCCTCACAGACCCGGACAGCCTAAAGAGATCACGCAGGTCTGTTACTGCTGTTGCACTCCCGCTGCGCATTCTTTAGCACCCGATAACAAGGTCCAGACAGAATCTGCGGACGTTTCTTGCTATTTCTGCGCAGAATATTGTTAAAAATCTGTGGCTTTAAGTGGAATGATTTTGGGTGTATCTTAACTAAAAACTTAATATGTTAAATAAAAATTATGCATTTTTAACTTTTATTTAGTGGTTACAATGCAAATCCAATTAGATTTACTTATTTGGTAAACAAAGTAAGTCTCTTATATAATATATATACAGTATAAATCTATTATTACTGTAAAATTGTATTGTAAATAAATCATATGAACATTTTCATATTAGTCAATATTATTACTGAAATTCATTTAAAAACTGAATAAATATAAATTTACATTTACACAACTAAATAAATAGACTCAATGATGGGCTGCAAATCCGTGGAATTCTAACGATCGCTCCGGCCATTTATTCATTCTTTTTACCCACTGTCTGATAGGAACAGTTTTCTTCTCGATTGACTGTTCCCGCTGAATTAAGAGAGAAAAGCTGAGCGCTCTTTCTTTGCATAAGTTTCATCCACTTCAACGGTGCTGATAAGCGATAACGGAGCTCTCTGGAATGTTTGGTAAAACTTACATTGTTGCCTTGGTAAAGCTAGCATAATGTAAACAGAAATAACCAAAAAGTGCTCGATGTGTTGACTTTATAATTATTTACATAATTGGTTGAGACTGTTGAGTCAAGGTGTAAAACAGAAAAAGTTTAAGCTTTTTCTCTATTTTTCTTAAGCAATTAACTACATACATTTTTTAAAATGCCCTACTTTTATTTAATTAATGAGAGAACATGCAAATATACAGTCATATGAGTGAAGTCTGCTGTGTTTTCAGGTGTTTGTTACCCAATAAATATGTATAGTAATTTTTACTTTTAATTTTTCTGTAGCCAATACTTTCTAAACATAGCAAATACCGTACCGTACCCAAACCGTGACCCTAATATCATTATACATACCAAACCATGAGTAGACTGAACTGTTGCACCCCTAATGACAAGACACACTCTTAAGAATGAAAAGCTCAAGTTTATCAGGGGGTATGTCCTTGTAATTATCAGTGATGTGAAAAGGAACAAAAGTTGTTGGCGTTAAATGCTCCATAATGATAATTTTACCTAAAAACTGCAGTCAAGCATACATTATTTTAAAATAAGTTTTGTTTTCTTACATTTTTTAGTTCATGCAGCTCACTTAAATTTTTTATTGCAGCAAATGATAAAATGTATGCAAATCAAAAGTCCCACACCTAGACTTTACACATATATATATATATATATATATATATATATATATATATATATATATATATATATATATATATATATATATATATATATATATATATATTTTTTTTTTTTTTTTTTAGTACTTTTTTTAAAAAAAAATTATAAAAAAATGTCAAAAATTTTATATTTTAAATAACACATCAAATTTCTGTAGCTTGAACTTGTACCATCCATTTGCTGTTCTACAAAGTTTTACTGGTATTAGTAGATGGTAAACAAACTATGAACAACTGATCTGTAAAGTGTGAGTTAATATATTAGTTAAGTGTTAGTTACTAGCTTATGTGTGTTATTGGGACGTTATTCTAAAGTTGCAACTATTCCTCATTTACTAAGAGTTAATAAGTGCAGAATAATTGCAACTTCAGAATAACGTCCCAATAACGAATATAAACTATTAACTGATACTTAACAGGTCTTTAGTAAGTAATAACTAACAGCTTGTTCATGATCAATTACTAATTTATTAGGTATAGCTATAAATCATTCAAATGCAGTTAACACGTCATTCATAACTTGTTAACTAACAGCTTGTAAGTTATCTGTTGGCTATCTATAAGGCACAGTTATAAATAATTAACAATCTATTAACTTTTATTTAAGAAGTCATTTATAACCCATTAACTAACAGTTTATTATTGATCTATTAACTAGTTATAATGGATAGTTGTTCTAAAGTGTTACCAAGTTTTCCCCCCAAGACATTCGCCTTGAGAGTTACTCACTCTGCTTTCTCAGGCTCAGGAGGAGGCTCTTCAATAGCAGGAGGCTGTTCAGGTCCTGCTTCATCTGGTTGCTGAAGGCAACATTAAAAAAACAACATTAGGTCATTGTTTAGATCACTGGTAAAGAAACATATGGGCTGCGTCTCATTCAGCTCCTTTGCTCCTGAGGTCATGCATCAGTAGGTATCAATAGGTAAGGACAGTGATGAGCTTACTACACACAGCACCGATGCTCCCTGATCTTCACAGTGCACTGTGGGACTTTTCAGGGCGCAAACGTTTCAGTGCACTGGAAGAATTTTGCAATTGAGACAGCCCTTAAAAAATGGCTGACACCCTAATCAGTCATCTAACTACCAAACAAGGAAGCTGAGTGAGACTCACCAAAGGTAACCAATCAAATAAACACCATACCGCTTTCCTCTTCAACAAAGGGGTACCCTCGGGAGTCGGCGGTTCTACAGGAGTTGTATCACCCATATCTCCAAGTCCACCAGGTGTATCTATACCAGGAATCTTTCCACCATCTTTCTCCTGGATATCCTCATCCTCTTCCTCTCCCCCTCCAGCATCCATCGAGTCCATTATCCCTCCAGTCTCCTGTTCCTCTCCTCCCCTCGGTTCTCCAGGTAAGTCCCCATGCACCTCGTCCTGTGTGGGATCTGGCATGCTGGCTAGTAACTCAGTTACTGTCATGTTTTTGGCCCCTTCAACCAAACCTCCTCCAAACAGCGTGTGCCAGATGAGGAGGAAGAAGCCTTTACAAACACTGTAAATGAAATGGAGGATGCCCAAGAGAATCGTCCACATGAAGGTAGCAAGCCCTACCACGATCTCCTTAATGGTCATCTTGCGGAGTCTGCGGTACTGTCTGCGAATATTCCTGAAGGTGAACATACCCAGAAAATTCATGATGCTTTGAATGAAATCGGCAAATGCAGAGCTTGATTCTGGTTGTCCCTCCTCGCCACCCCCCTCTTCATCACCAGCATCTCCTCCTTCAGCTTCCTCAATATCATCCTCTTCTTTCTCTTCCTCGTCTTGTTCTGAAATCTGCGACGCGATGTTCATCTCGAATATGGTGTCCTCGCAGAAGTTGACGAAAAGCTCCATCTTCTCCGATTCGCCGCCTTCATTGACTACGTCGAATATGAACTGTCTCTTCGATTCTTTGACTTGAGGCATTTCCCACTGCTTGCGATTCACCTCGCTGATCTCGAAGTAGATTCTCTCGATTTTCCTGCTGGCGCCCATGATCTCGATGCGACCCAAGAATGGGCGGAAATAGTTCAGGACGCTCTCGGCTTGTTCGAGGAAGTTCTGCAGTCTTGTATCGTGAGGAACATGTTCGGAGAGGTTGGTGAGCAGCACCGCTATGTTAAAACCAATATCTTTGGCCGGCTCTTGAAAGCGACTTGCAAACTCCTCGTAATTGATCATCTCATTCTCATCAGCCTCAGAGCATGACAATAGGAATTGGATCTCTGAAGGTGTGTACTGTTTCTGGCTGTCCATGGATTTCTGAAAGTCTTTCTTGGATATCAAACCTCTAGGGTCGGTCACGTAGTCACGAAACGCGTCAGACGCAACAATGTCCTTCAGCTTGAGGAACATGTCGAAGAACTTAAGGATCATTTCTACATTGCTGGAGGATTCCACTAGCATGTCCACCATCTGGCGAGCAATGGTGCCATTTACAACATTACCTGTCAAATAGAGAGCCGTACAATTTAATTGTGTCTAAACCAGTGTTTCTCAGCCACGATCCTGGAGAACCACCAACACTGCATGTTTTGCATGTCTCCTTTGTCTGTCAGACCCATTACAGGTCGTTCAGTCTTTGCTAATGAGCTGATGATCTGATTCAGGAGTGGTTGGTTAAAGAGACACGGAAAATGTGCAGAGCTGGTGGTTCTCCAGGAACGTGGTTGAGAAACACTGGTCTAAATCACATGATGCAGAAATGATGAACTTAAAAGCTTGACTTTCTTCATACCCTCCAACAAGGACAATAACATGACCACCATGTCTTTCTGAAGGTCCAACAACTCTTTCAGAAGACCAATCTGACTGGAATCCTGCAAGAAAGCAAAATGACATACTAGCTGCACAAAACACATACCAATACTAATAAAGAGCGTTTATAAAAACAAAACTTAAAAGTATACAGTGCTCAACATATATGAGTACACCCTCACAAATCTCTCATTAAAATTAATATGTTCTATAGGATGAATATTAAATTTGCAAATATAGGACTCGAAATGAACCTTTTTGCTTTTTTCTAACTTCAAAAATGTAGGCGCACCAGCCAAAATTTAGTCACACCCATCAAGAATTTTGCGCACCGTTCCCACAAGTTTTACAGATTCAACAGATTTACTGCTTTTGAAATCAATACTTATCAAAAGTAACAAACAAAAATCTACAAGCGCTTGTAACGTTAGTTGGTTTATAAAATAAAATCTGTCACTGTTATTTTCATTCTCTCATATCCTGACCTTTACATTTTCGCAGCTGTAGCACCCTGTCATCTGAAGGAAGGCATTTACTGGGTGATTAACAGTTGAAATTCACCAATTCATTTGTGTGCAGTTTAAGAGCAGTGGGCGAATCAGAAGAGCTTGAAGGCGGGGCAAGCATTACGGGATTTGTTTACTGCAGCAAATAAAAAATCCACGCATGTGGTGAACACTTTGCAGTGAAAGCGAATCACATGGTAACAATTTTATACACTCGCACAAATGCTCCCAAATATATTTTGAGGTTGCATAGATAAAATTTTGCTCGCATACGCGAACAAAACAGTCGCAATTTGGAGCCCTGCATTGGACTAGTCAGTACTAAAGCCAAATCTGGAGCTAATCTAAGGCTGCATCCGAACCTCGGCTCAGTTGGCGTTTCTGTGTGGAGTTTGCATGTTCTCCCTACCTTCGCGTGGGTTTCCTCCGGGTGCTCCGGTTTCCCCCACAGTCCAAAGACATGCGGTACAGGTGAATTGGGTAGGCTAAATTGTCCGTAGTGTATGAGTGTGTGTGAGAGTGTGTGTGTGGATGTTTCCCAGAGATGGGTTGCGGCTGGAAGGGCATCCGCTGCGTAAAAACTTGCTGGATAAGTTGGCGGTTCATTCCGCTGTGGCGACCCCGGATTAATAAAGGAACTAAGCTGACAAGAAAATGAATGAATGAATACTCAGCTGTAATAAAAGTACGCTCTATACAGTATGAATGTGAATGAAACTCGGACGTACTACATTCGCTATTTTGTCGTGATCACATGACCTACCTACATGAGTTGCGTCGCTTCACTTCAATTCATATATTGTCTCGCGGGGCAACATGGGATAGTGTAGCGTCCATCCGATGCGCATTACAAAATCTCGCCAGAAGTAGTAGGTCAGCCGGGTACTTCTCACATACTGATTTTCGAATTCTATGCATTCAGACATACTATTCGCATACTGATTTTGGTGAACTATATAATATGGAAGTATGCAATTTCAGACGCAGATTAACAAAATAACGTATAATAATGGCTAAAAATTTGTTGCCCAAATTTATATGATAGTAAAAAATATAAATAAAAAAATTTAAGAGCAAAATTCAAGAGAAACAAATTTTTGAATTTTGTATTTTTTTCCCCCAATATTTTGCATGAATTAAAATGTTTTTTTCTTTTCTTCAAGATTCAGTGACTAAAATATTATTATAATAAATATATCCATTTGATAAATCTGTTTTTTTCAAATGCACCAAAATACAGTATATAACAAAATAAGTATATTCACTGAGAAATGGATAAAAATCTTCATCTTCAAATTTGTGCGCTCATTTATGTTGAGCACTGTATACAAATATACAATTAATGTCCTTTTAATTTATATCATATATATTAATATCAATTCAAAAAGTAAGATTAAGCCTACATTATCTATGAAGGTGTAGTTTCATTTTAAGGCTACGGTCACATAATAAACACATTAGCTTATTTGATTTTATAAGGACAATGTAAAATGCTGTAACATTTAGATGCAGGTTAATGCATTCAGCAAACAGGAGTTAATTATTAGAAACAAAAGCACTCTAAACATCCAACAGATACTGAAATTCAGAAACAAAAACAGCACACCAAAAGTAAAATTCTAGAAATGACAAAACTATTTTTAATACAGCAAATTCACATAAAGCTGAAAACACATGATTCCTCTGGGTAATGTTATCTGCCATACATTCATTTTCTCAGGCTGTTTGACCCACTTGTTTGTATGCTTAGCAAAATTTCGATATTATTCAGACAATAAGCATGTTAAATAAGCAAAAAAGAAAACGATATGTTTTGCCTCTAAAGTATCCAAAAATATACAGAACAATGTACTTTTTGCTACTACTTCTATTGGGTTCAAACAACCTGGATTTGGGAATCTGAAACATTAAGGGGGGAACTCAACTCAATACAATCACTTCAATAGATAAATAGAGTGATACATACTCTTCCCTGCATACAGCGTATGAAAGACAGTTTAATTCATCAGTAAAGCATTGAGAGCAAAAACAATATTACATTCCAACAAACTAGTCATTTCAATATTAAAAAGGGAATGTAACTTGTTCTCTAGTTAGGCATGTCTAATCATTAAAAAAACCTCTACATGAGCACTACTATACTTTCATTTTCATGCATTACCTATTAGCCACTAAAGTAATAAATAAGCCCTTTTAGTAAAAAATTAAACACATTTGACACCCTAAAAGTGTAAATCTACTGACAATAGTGCTGTGGAATATGGTTTTACTTTTCAATAAAATGCTGAGATAAAAACTACTCAGGTATCAAGCAGTGAATGTGTACTACTAGTGCAAAAAACACTACAAACGAAGACTAGGATAAATGTGTGATCTAATGCATTCAGATAGAATGAAGCAAGGAAATGAGCAACAGTACAATCAAGTTTATGTGGGTTACCTGAGCCAGTTTCATCATCATATGAGCAAACACGTGCAGAAAGCCCACCACAGCATCCCATAAGCGACTGTGAGCCAGGGACTGCTGGTTTCCTGTGCAGGGACCCTGAGACAGACAGATCACTTAAATAAATGAAAACTATATTATTTTATTATATATTATTAATGCACTGAGAAATGTGATGAAACAATTTAAAGGCACACAAAACCCTAAAACCCTTTATTTTTGAGATGTTAAAAGACATATAGTTTATATGCGCCACAGAGCTAAAAACACTATTAGAACACATACAGTTGAAGTCTGAATTTTAAGCCCCCTTCAAAATTTTTTACTTCTTTTTTAAATATTTTCCAAATGATGATTAACAGAGCAAGGAAATTTTCACAGTATGTCTGATAATATTTTTTCTTCTGGAAAAAAAGTCTTATTTGTTTTATTTCTGCTAGAATAACAGCAGTTTTTATTTTTTAAAAAAAATTTTAGGGACAAAATTATTAGCCCCTTTAAGCAATATTTTTTCTCGATAGTCTACAGAACAAACCATCTTTATACAATAACTTACCTAATTACCCTAACCTGCCTATTTAACCTAATTAGCCTAGTTAAGCCTTTAAATGTCACTTTAAGCTGTATAGAAGTGTTTTATATATATAAAATATATATAGTCAAATATTATTTACTGTCATCATGACAAAGATAAAATAAATCCATTATTAGAAGTGAGTTATTAAAATTATTATGTTTAGAAATGTGTTGAAAAAAATGTCTCCGTTAAACAGAAATTGGGGAAAAAATAAACAAGCGGTCTTATAATTCAGGGAGGCTAATAATTCTGCATTCGACTTTATATTTGACCAAAAATGTGTTGTTTTTGCGTTGTTTAGAGTAAATTTGTTCTTCTGGTAAAAAAAAATATTTTAAAGAAACGTCACATTGATGAGGTCATTGGGTAAATTCCAGCGTGGTGATTGGCCGGCAGTACACAGTGATGTCATTGTCATTCTAGCATGTGTGTGTTTTCTCTTTATGCAAGAGTTTGTTCAAACCAATCGATCGGACTGTCATTGATGGGGCGTCAGAATTAATTGTTTCTTTGATGCACAGTGATGTAGATGCAAAAAATTAAGTATCAGTTCAGTAATAATTAAAACCGGTTATTATTTACTGATGCAATTTATAACATATGCGTTATATAGTAGAGAACCATGGCGAGGGAGGAGACCGTGAGTAATTAAAACACTGCAACTATTTAAAAAGCAGATAACTGTGCACAATTCACTGCTTGTGACTGGGTTGCCACTGACAGGGAAGTACATCTGAACCCAGTAAGAAAAACTGAAAGCTGTAAACTATCTCGCTTCTGTTTGCCCCTTTGACCAGCTGCCGTGTTTGTAATGTAACGTTTTACCTCCTCTCTCGGCTCTTACAACAGTAACGTTACTTGGGAATCCAGACATAAGCGTATCTGCAGAGCGAGTTTTCTCCACTGCATCACCGTCTATAAAGCAGCTGACAGCCGTGGCCGTGTAACATCCATGTCTGTGTCACTGTTTGCTGAACAGCTGACCATTAGAGCTAATCGCAGCCCTTTTTGTTGAGCGGGTGATCAATCATAGGCGTTTAAGAACTCTCTCAAAAACGCTTAAAAAGCAAGCAGGATAATATTTATATTTGTTTAATTGCTTTAAATGTTCTTGTTGTTCTAGGCATCTACTTTAGTTTAGTTTGATAGATTATTTGAGCAGGTAAAATTAAAGGTACAGTACATATATTTGACTGCTAGTATTGAAGTACAAAATTGTATTACAAGTAACATATAAATATAAATGTATTTATGAATTATTCATTTTAATACACTACTGAATTATTGTGTTGCTAAAATATCAAATTGTTTATAGAAAGCATCATCAATGCGCCGTAATGCACCGAGATATTGAATTGAACCGAATCAATGGCATGATAATTGTAACCGAACCAAACCATAGGAATTACGTTATAGGTTCACACCTCTAGTCATTGACGCAAAAATAAATTAATAATGACACACCTGGATATACTCGGTAAGACTGTTGAAAACCTGTTTGGCCACAGTCATAGCTTTAGAGAAGTTTCGCTTTCCTGGTTCATCTATGATGTCTTTTCCCGAGTAATACCAGTAGAAATCACTGATGGACTCCTGGAGGAAGAAAACAAATAGTCAAAGAAATAAATGTACAGAATACAGAAATGTGCTACACTTTATCAGGGTTTGAAAGGTAAACATGGCCTCACCTGTAGTCTAAGCAGGTAATCCACTGTACAGATAATGACATTGATGGTGGTGGTGCTGCCTGTCTGTGTTCTGAGGTAATTTTGGAAGTCTAAAGTGAAGCAGACTCGTAAAAGGTTAAACAATCTGAACAATCAAAACCATCGACACAGTGTGTGGAACAATATGATGATGTGTAATACAAGTTAGACAAAACATTTAAAACATCATTTACCCACCCTGGCGGTGTTTGAATGCCTCAAGTTGTATTTTGTGTGTTGTGATTTTTATTATGGTGGCTTGATACTAAACGTTCTGCTCTCCAGCAAAACCTACAGTAACAAGTAGCCTAATTCATATTAGCAATATGCTAATTGATGCTAGCAATGTGCCGATGTTAAAAATAGTAGCTACAAGCTACTAATGTGTTAACAAATCTTAACAATGTTCAAAACTGGTTAACAACATACTTCCAACATGCTAAAATATTTAAGCAACATGTTACATATGCTTATGAATCCTAAAAATACATAAAATATGTTAAGACATCATGGCAAACTTTGAAAATGTGCTAAAAAATAGAATTGATTAGTGATGTGCACTAACATCAAAAAGTAAAACACTGTGGAAAACATCACAGCACAGTTCGAAAACATGCTAACAATGTGTTAAAACAGGCTAGCAACAAACTATTTATGTGCTAAAACATGCTAACAACCTTTTAAAATCTTAATATTCTATGTTTGATAGATAGCTTGACTTCAAAATCTTCAGTCTCAAGCATTTTAATCTTTCTTAAAATTTTATGGCCTGGCCCTAAACATCAAAGTTTGTCTTGACAAGATATTTTTATCTAGTTGATTTAGATTTTCCAAGGTGAATCAGAGTGAAGAAGTACTTATACTTTTTTTATTATTTAGCTTTTGTGTTCTGAAAAATGAGGAAAGAATCAAAACAACACCAAAAGTGAGTAAATGTTTACTTAATTTAGATTTTTGAGTGAACTATCCCCTTTAACAGATGTGGAGCACTAATGAAAACTAATTGCAAGAAATCACATTACAAATGTGCAGAATGAGGACCCACCATTGTTGTGACCCTCACAGAGGAGCTGGAGAAAGCGGAAGAGGTCGCAAGTGAACTCGTCATCAGCCATGACCTTCTCACCTATGCAAAAGGAAGGAAATATGTGGGAACATCACATACAGGCGAACGTGTCTTTATGAAACTGATCTCAGGTTTAGTGTAGAAGCAGTCTGATTAGAACTGAAAAGAGAAAAATTTAGCAGAATTTCTCATGTTATAATGTTAGTGCAAACTGCAACTTTTTGTCACTTTCAGGAGAAAATAGGCAGAAAATAATATTATTTGTGGTGGTGTTCCAATCTACTCCCCAGTTTAGCCACTGAAAAATCCCAGAATGCATAGTTTAACTTATGTTCATTGATGTCTCATATTTAAAAGATCATCAGGAATGAAAGACAAACTATTTTTTCATATCAGTGATATACCTTTTTATTTTAATATGTAATGCAACAAGTATATAATTACATATGTCAGTAATAGCACAATTTAATTGAGTCACTTCATAGGGAACTAAGGAGTGGATTGAGACGCAGCCTTATGCAAAATCACAACATCTTTAACTGAAATACAGCGGCACAAAATGACACTTTAACCAAATAACACAACACATATACTGTACGTAAACTGTACACATACACAATAATAAGCATTTATGAACACAGATATAAGAACACTGATATACAATCACATAAACTGTGGCTTAAACACATGGAGGGATTAATTACAACATAAAAGCCCAACATAGACGTTACTTTGACATGCGGGACAGACCTACTGTAATCCTAAACCTCAGCTGTGTTTTGGGGAGGGAAAATGCGGGTCAATAAATCAACAAAGCCACATGAAAGTCAGAGACTCCAGCATAAAATCTTCTGTGATAATTCCAGCTATTTTTATTTTAGGATAATACAATTCTAAGCATGTTAAATACTAAATTGCTAATGCTAATCTGCTAATCATAGCCTAGTGTTTTGATGTGTCCAATTATGTATGACTGATTAATAGATTAATTATTACCTCAAGGCAATACCTAAGCTAGGGTAAATATTGGAGGACATTTAGGGTTATATTACAGTAGGTGCAAATCTTGAAGCCAAGACAGAGTTAGATCAAATTTGGCTCAATTCATAACCAATGGGTGGAACTAGTAAATTATATCTGGGTCAAAGACAAAAACGGGTTTACAAGCATCAAATCAAAGAACAAAATGGCATTAAATTAGTTTTTTTTTTCATACATAAATTAAATGAGGTACAAATAATAAGAAATACAAATGCTTCATACACCCAATAAAACATCATGCGTCTAATAAAGCGTAACAATAGTTTATATGCTAACAAATATTTTCAGATACACTTAAAATAAGATTAATTTGATGACATATTAAAAGAATAACAAACATTACTTTAAACCTTTATTGACCTTTGCCTCTATCGTAGGTCCCTGCTGAAAAATCCAGCTTAAAGCAGCCTAGGCTGGTTGGCTGGTTTTAGCTGGTTGACCAGCCTGGTTTTAGGGGGGTTTTGGCCATTTTACAAGCTGGTTTCCAACCATTTCCAGCCTGGTCTTAGCTGGTCAGAAATGACCAGCTAAATCCAGCTAAAACCTGCTTGACCAGCCTGTTTAAGCTGGACATAGCTGGTTTTGGCTGGGCTCCCTGCCTGGGTAGGTTGGTCAAGGTGGTCTTAGCTGGTCATCTCCCAGCCTGACTAGCTAAGACCAGGCTGGAAATGTCTGGACACCAGCCTGGAAATGGCCAAAACCCCTCTAAAACCAGCCTGGTTGACCAGCTAAAACCAGCCAACCAGCCTAGGATGGTTTAAGCTGATTTTTTCAGTAGGAAACGTTTTCTCCATTTTTAAGCAAAAAGGTTCTAATAATTTGAAATATAACGAAATTTAGAATGATCATTTTAATATACAGTCAGGTCCATAAATTTTGGGACATCAACACAATTCTCCCATTATTGCCTCTATGCACTAAAACAATGGATTTGAAATGAAACAAACAGATGTGTTTTAACTGAAGACTGTCAGCTTTAATTTGAGGGAGTCCCATTACTTTTGGACCCTTAACAAGTGGGAGGCACATCTGCAAACTCTTGTAATTCCTAGACCGTTCACCTGATTTGGATGTAAATACCCTCAAATTAAAGCTGACAGTTGGAGTCAAAAATGTTAGAACTGTGTCGATGTCCCAATATGGGATCAACAACATTCCAATCAGCCAATCAGAATTAAGGGATACATTTACAGTGTAGGTTTATACTTCATGATTGTTATCCAACTATTATTCTCCTCTGATTTGGGGGAATAACTTACAATTATGGTTGGGTTTAGGGGTAAGGAATAGCTATGGGTAATATATTCAAACAAAAATGATGTTCCAGGATTAACAAAGATGTTAATTCAGGATTCATGTCCTATTTGATGAAATCTGGTTGTCAGTATCAATTAACAACAAAATATGAAACTAAAAAAAGTAAAAAAGTGAATCATCTTAATTCTGTGTAATGCATATATTTATGTAAAATTTAACCTCATACTTCTTATTTCTATGTGTTGAAAAATATACAGTCAGGTCCAGACAAAATAATGACATGCTAGTTGATACTCTAAAGTACTTAATTTAGCAGCGTTTTATTATCATAAGCTCTCTATGTACATAAAATCACTTTGTTTATTTATATTGCATTTATTTTTGATGCAGACACCAACATGTCTTTGACCCCTGAATTTGCTAGTAACAAAACACATATAATCCTCTTAAATTCAATAAGGATATTAGTGCTGCCATGTGAAAGTTAAGGTCTTTTTTCATGTAAGAACAAAGCTGATGCATACAACTACATGAAATGAAACTTAATGAATGCAAAAAACAACATAATGGACAAAAATGTTTTTGTTTATGCAGCATGTTGTTACTGTAAACTTCATTTTATTTCTCCTTTTCTACAGACTAGACACAATGCAGAGACTTAAGAGTTACAGTAGATCTGTTTCAACACTCAAGGGGGGAGAGAAAAACACTTCAGTCACATTCGGAGTCAGTGTGAATGAATAAATTAGATGTACTGCTTGGTAATCTGAATTTGCAATGTGAGCAAAAGTTGTTTTTGCAGTTCCTTGAGTGATAAAATTCATATATATACTTTTATGTGTATATATATATATATATATATATATATATATATATATATATATATATATATATATATATATATATATAAAATTAAAAATTAAAATAAAACTGATTTCAAAGAGAAAAAGGGACAGAAAGGAGTGACAGGTAGAGAAAAATGAAAAACAGAGGGACAGAGGCGTTATTTACCCCGTTCTAGCTTCATGTCTGAGGCCCGTGAAGGAAAGGAGGAATGAAAAGAGATGGGGGACAAAAGTATAGTCATGGTAAAAGAGTGATGGTGAGTTGAGGGCAAACAGACGACATGGAGTGAAAAGGGAATTATTCATGACCAATTTCATAGTCTGTCAACTGGCATCATATTAGACTCGATTATTACATCTGGAGACAAATGGAGTATGTGATAATATGATCGCTGATTAATTTATTGAACTGATCAATTTTGTCAACAAATGATGCGGCATTTCCAGGTTAGAATGACCAAACATGTATGATTACAGATGGATGATTGAATAGGAGCTAATTTTGGCCACATTTATGGATTCAACAATCATTTTTATCCTCTATAGTTATTCTATACTAGCAAATTACATTAGCAGCTGGTATTAAAGGTGCTATAGAATGAATTTCAGTATATATCTAGGCATAGCTGAATAATAAGAGCTATTTATTGCCCTATCACTGTAAAATAACAAATAGCCTACTGCACATCTCTCTATATTTAGGCTAAAACACTGCTTTATTTATGTATTTATTTTCTCTATGATTGTTTGTACTTTCATTTTAGTTGTCTTTCTTTTGTTTTGATTATCAAAATGAACCCTCATTGTACTTAAGTTTACAACATTAGAAAAGCTTGTTAACAAGTTTAGAATGATTTATGAGGTAATTATAACGCTTCATTTCGTTATTTCGTCTTCATCTTCAGCAGGATATGTACGGCTACTGAATATTTCTGTCTGTTCGCATCCCGTCCATTTGTGTCCCCTGGTGGCAGTGCTGCAAACTGCTGTTACACCTAAAGACATTTTCGTAATCCCTTTGTCCCGCGGCATCATCACACACGACAGTAGTGGTCATTTTGAACTGTCACTCACTACAATTGTTTCCTCGTTCTAGAAATTCCCAGTGAAAAGCAGGTCAAATGTTACGAAAAACACTGACTCCAACTATACACATGGGATCATTAATATGTACATCCCAGGCAGTGCTTGATTGGCCACAATGTTACCTAGTGAAATTAAAACAAAACAACTATGTACTGTATGTAGGACTCTTTTCTTTAAAAACGAGAGGCAGGGAGCCTTAAAAGAAGCAGTTTTGGGAAGTAGGTAGCATTACTACAGAGTTTTCACAGCTCGTCAGAAAGCAAAATACAGGATATACGGATTTAGTACCACCCCCAAGAGCTATAAGGCCTGTTTAACTGTATATTTAGTTAGTTCAACGTGTATATTTTGTATTTTTATATATGTAATGAGCCAAAAATTCAAGTTGACTGCCAAATATAAGTGTCATACTGTATCACTCAGAAGTAATAGGACAGTAATACACTTTATACAACTCACTCTTGCTTTAACACCCCTTGATTACTGTTTATTTATATCTTTTACTTATTAATTGTTTCCTTTTACATTTTATTTTCTTTAGTACTCCAATGTACAGCACTTTGGTCAACTTCAGTTATTTCTAAAATGTGCTTTATAAATAAATATTGTATTGTAAAACCCATTTGTTTACGCAGAGGTTGATAATTTCTGCCTTTATTTTAACATAAGTTAAAGCTTCAAAATACAACACTAAAAACATCTACGTCTGTCTCTTTTAATGAGTAAAATTACAATTTATTCTATGACATTAAAAACAACAACAACCCTCGAGCAAAATAGGTTACTCCGGTGGCTTTAAGATATCTTACTCACTCTTAAAAAATACATCCACTTCAATTGAAAAGATTGTTAACAAAGCATCTACTCTATTTGTAAAAAAATTAGTTTTTTATATTATTTTGCACATTATTTTTCCTGCCTCCTCCTTCCCATGAACTGTGAGCTTGAAACCTATAACAACGAACCTTACAAATATGATCAAAACAGAGCTTTTCATTTTAGGGCTTGTTTATGTGGTTATAAATGAGCATATACAACATTTCTGGAGAATTTTTTAACTTTTCTAAGTCACATACCTACTAAGTAGATATCAGAGAAAAAAAATGCATATTAAATCAATACACTCTATAGCACCTTTAATATAAAAACCTTCAGCTTGTCAATATATTGGTGCATGATAAAAAAAGACTCTGGATCATTCATGTTACTTACTTGTACCCTCTTCTGACACCATACCTAGACCCTCAGCTTTATTCTGCCTCTCAAAGGCATTCAGGTCCAAAACACTGCAAAGCATTTTCAAACAATCAATTATCTAGTGTAAAAAGAGAAAGACCACAGCTTTCAATCACAAAATACCTGCAGGTCTGCATTAAAGCCTGAACACTGAGAAAGAAACCCACATCTTTCTTGTCTTTCAGATAGTCCAGCATTTTCTGCAAGGGAATTGTTGATCCGGTAACAAAGCAATATATCATAATATATAAATCTTTAATATACTGTAGGTCTTTCACAACTAACCTGCTGAACTTCACAGTTCCCGCCATTTAAAATAGAAATGCCAAGTTTTAGGGTGGAAGAGACCATACAACCAGTCTCACCTGTACAAAGACGAAAAAGAGACACATTTTTACATTGAAAGGTTTCAACAGTGCTCCCATTTGGATATTTGAATGTAGACTGTGGTGTAAAGTGGAGCTCAAAAGGTAAAAACAGAAAATTATGGTATGAACACTTCATTGTTATTCAGAAATAATGTAATATATCAAGGTATTTTACCTGTGACTTTACTAAACTAACCAAAGCACTTCACAGTGATCAAAATGAGAGAAAAGCAGTCTTTAGCTAGATGGCTACATCAGTCAAAATTAGTGTACAGGTCTTTATTTTGAATGACTTCAGCACATCTTTTCAGACACCATGAAACAAGATGTTATGTTGGGTTGTATATTATGTGAAGACAAATACAGCACCTTTTTTGTCCTTGAATTCATGCAAACATGTTGTAGAATAAAATAAGAAACCTTTAAAACAGGGGTTCTCAATCTCTGTCATGGAGGTCCAATGTCCTGCAGATTTTAGCTCCAACCCCAAGAACCTCCAGGACTGAGTTTGACAACCACTGCTTTAAATATCATAACAGAGCACTTTAAAAACTTCAGTGGTTTTTAGGTGTGTGTAAAGTTGAATTAGTACCCTTGCAGGCACTGATCATCTGCAGGACCATTTCAGCAGCCCCTCGGTTGTGTAGACGCGACTGCTGGTAGAGCAGTCTTTGCTTTTCCATTTCCTTTTCCTACAGGGATAAACATGGAAAATGAACTGTTTGAAAGCATTAATATGTCGCCTTTTCCACATACCATTCCTTCAGGTCAATCTCCCTGCTCCTTTAAACAAACTACAGAAAGCTAAACATAGTAAAAAACAAAAACTGCCAAATTGTTTCAAAATACATCCATACATATAAATCTAAGCATAAATAAACCAAAAGTGATTTTTTAATCTTAGTGTGCTTTCACACCTGTGAATCGATTCAGTTGTTCCGAAACAGAGATTACAAATGTTACATTGTTGCTCTTTGCTCTTGGAGCGGTTCGCTTTCACGCTGGAAAGTTTCTAATCGGACCAAAAGAGCTAAAACAAATCACGTGCGAGTAAACTCTTCTTACATTGGTCAGAGTGTCAGGGTGTATTCTGCAGCGTCAAGCTAAGCTGTCAGGAGAGGTGGTGGTTTGGTGGTGATTGACAGGGTGCACGCGCGCGACTTGTCTGAGGAGATATGAGGTGGGGAAGGGTGAGAAGGGTGCGCGACGAGTCCTATTTGATGACCGGGAGGGAGACGCGAGATTACCGGGAGATCATCACTCGTTTGCGGGCATCCGGAGACTCGCGAAACTTCCCGCCATACTCATAATTCTCTCTTCATATAGCCGTAAGCCTATTACATATCCATAAAACACTGTGATATAACCGCGCTCGGATCGGATCGCTTTCTCACTGCAATCGAACCGCTCCAGGGTTCGTTTCAATCGAGCCGAGACCACCTCATTCAAGCGATCTCGGAGCGATTACTTTGGCGCGGAACAGAGCTCGATTGCCCTGTTCACATATGCCAATCGAACTGCGCTAACTGGGCAAACGAGACAGGTTCCAAAACAAAAGTGTAGGTGTGAAAGCACCCTTAAATGTGATTTTTACAGCATTAAAGGTGCAGTATGTACGTTTGACACTCAGTGGTTAAACTAGGTACTGCCCTCCTGGGTCAAAACAAATGCAAGTGCAGGTTGCCAGATTGACAACATCAACAGGACCATGCCTGACTATTGGACCTAAAGGCTGATTTAAGGCTGATTTGATTCATGTTCTAAATAAATGCAACAGCATGTGATAAAAGGCATATTTTCCATATTAAAAAAAGTTTTTGCTCTAACCAATACAAAAAATTTTAGAAACTTATTTCTTGCAGCTAAACAACAGAACAACTGACAATGATCCCCCCAGGTACACCTCATGTGCTTCATTCAAGGTTAAATGCTATTTATATGAGTCTGAATGTCATTTTTATATCCTGAAAGCAGCAGCAGATAGTTCAGCTCAGATCTTGAAAATAAAATAAACCATTTGAAATTGAACTTTAAAACTGTGATTTAGAGGAAGCCAACACATGTCAGTGATTCAACATGTACATTTAATAATGTTAAAGAGGTTTAATATGTATTAATTAGATTGTAAACCTCACCATTTTGTTGGAGTGCAGTAAGTGCACGTATATGTGCTTCTGAATGGCTGTATTTAAACTTTTTTGTATTAAACAGCCAAATCACTGCAAATCTTGTTACGCAGTGTGTTGTTAGTACACCGGGTTACAATGTAACCTGCTCACCTAATGTTTACGTTCGTAATATTTATACTATTTGCTAATAATAACCACTCTGAATCTGGAACTCTGCATCTCATTTCGGAGTCTGCTACTGTCAACCAGAGATCCCATTTCTATCGCTGTCACATACTTTAAGAGACTTCCTAACTGAATGAATGAAATTCGCTGTTTTCCATCAAGGCAACCCAGGGTGCTGAAATAAAAGTTGGCTGAACTGGCATTGTGCGGGTAAAGGGACCAAAACAAAGAAAGCGTTCCAGCATGGAAAACACATGTTCAAAGAAGAATATCTAGCCTCAGCATTGTTTTTCAGATAAACAAAAATGTTCACTTAGCATGTTAGCATATACTATGGTATTTTTATGCTTTAAAAGAGTTAAAAACTTACATACAGCACCTTTAAAGAGAGCTCCTTAAAACTGCAGAAGATCAGGGCTATGCTGATGTGAATATAGTCTAAAACTCGTCTCTTTCACTCACGCTCTTTTAGCATGCTTCCAATCAAGCGCACCATCATCATTAGTTATGGGAAAGTCATACTAATTTCCCACGTTTGTCTAACAGAGCAAACGTTGGACTACAGTAAACTCTCCTGATGGCTTTGCATCTCACAGAGAAACAAAGAGCCATGCAGGTGTTACTCATCTACAGCTATGTCTCCTGTTGAGAAGTGACCAATAAGTGCATCTGCAACCTATACGTAACCCTTCACCCAGCATTACCAAACAATTGACTTTAAAATAAAGATAAATTGTGATCAGATGCAATTGCTTTTCCTTTCTTTTAATGTAGATATATACGCAAACACAATTACATGACTATTAAATTTGTAATAAAAGCAAGCCTTTTGCTTTTTATTACATCCATAAAAGAAGCAAAAAATGCACAAAAAATGTGTACACTTTATCAATTTTAAAGCAAAACGTACAGAAGCTTGCTTTGCAAAATAAATCTTTAGGTTTATAATTGCTGCATGCATATTACAACCCCCCTCCCAAACCTCCCACCCCACCCCTGCCACCCCCCTCCCCTGTAAGCCTGGCCTAAACACCCAAAAGTGTGTGCATTTCTTCTTACCATGTCTATGAATGCTCAGCCTTTGCTCTTACCATGTCTATGAATGAGTGTGCATACGTGAAATTATACATCTATATGTATTTGTTGCCTACAATCCAATACGTCGGATGTGTCTCTATGTTTGTACCTCTGTGTGTGCAGACTAGGAGACTGCTCTTGTTTTCACTGTAGTCTGTGTGTCAGTATACTATGTCAGTATGGGGGAAAACGTTGATTAGTCACTTTCACAAAACAACTGTGAATGCGTTAACGGAAATCAAGATAAGAGAGAACAGATAGCAGACATACCTGTAAACAGAACTATTACCAGGGTTCCCATACTTTCACGAACAGCAGATCCAAGGACTTTCAAGGACTTTTTAAAGCACTGTTAGTTTTAAATAAAGCACATTTGTAAGGATACCCCTGCATACAGTATGTAGCGCCATGAAAGTCTTAACTGTACTTAACATTTTATTTCGACTTAAAGGTGCAGTAGGTGATTGTATTTAGAAACATCTTTTCTTGTGCTGGTTGAAAGTCTCTTCATAGTCCAATAGTATTGATTAAAGTAACCTCCTGAGACCCGAAGTTTTTTTTTTTTTTTTCTGTCATGTCCTACATCCTTTGAGTTAAAAAAAATCTACAATTTAGAGTTTTGTTTTTATTTTTAATTTTACAGCATGTCCACTGTAGTGGACCACAGGACCATTTTAGTTCGAAACGACCACCACTCACACACACACACACAACAAAACTGTATAGGATATGGCTGTAAAGGGATATTAATCCAATATTAATGTCACAAAAACAAAACCCATTTTTTGCTTTTGTATTGAAATTTCTGAAACAGTTTAGTGTGAAAGAGAGCCGAACTCAAAAAAAAAAAAAAAAAAAAAAAGAACTGATGTTAATCCAAAACAATTTTAACATAAATGTGATATAAATTCTCTAATTGTCTGACTCTAAATCAGAGTCTCCCTCATCTATCTTTTAAAGAATCCTGTCTGCGTCAGTTCTGCCTCCTACAACATGCTGTCATTAATTACATTAAGATGGTCCTGGTGTCCACTATAGTGGACATTTAAAAAAGGATGATGTTTTGGAACACAAACAAGTTAACAGTTTTGAAAGCTAAATGTATTGTTCCTGACACTTTAATAAACAAATATATATGTAATAATAATAGTAAAAACATTTAAAAAGCTAAATTTTACATACCTCTCCTTACCATAAAATGTGCTTTTTTTGTATGTCGGCCAATTTGGATGCAGTGTAAGAAGTGGTTCCTAGCATGCCAGACAATCAAATGACATATCACTAGAAAGCCCAGGATGTCCTCAGAACAGTACAACAGGACTTCACAGAGTAGCTCTAAAAATTCAAAGAAAATTCATCAAAATGCAATGTCCACTACAGAGGACACAAGTCAATGGGTGGGGTTTTAGGAGGGTAAATGATCTTTATATGTATTTTTATATCCTGGGTAAGGCATAAAACAAAAAAAAAAGTATTCAATTAAAACGTCCTATAATTCCGATAAGTAGCTCAAACTGTCCGTCAACAAATGCAGATTTAGGCTTTTGCGCATCTCTGTTCACACATATCCGCCCTTAGCGTGTGCACGCCTGCATGAGCATCACTTGTGCACACATAGATGAGAGCCGCGCGTGCACGAGAGTCACAATTGCAGCAAAATCAATCAAAATTTTTTAACTCCTGAATCAAAATTGGAGTTACTTTTGAACGCTGGAGAAAGGACGACACCATGGCTGAAGTATTTCTGTTAGACAGGTAATGTTCTGTTTTAAAACTATTTTAGCTTCACGCAGAGCTGATGTAGAGTGTGTGTTATGAGTGGGTTATTATGTGCACAGACGTGTTGTTCAGCCACTAAAATCTCCCAGTGATAGATTGTCGTGACTATTTTCAGTTTCATAGGGGCCTTTGACAGCATCTATAATGTAGATTTACGTTTAGTTTAACAACAAAACATCAGTAAATAGCGCTATTGCACCTAGCCTGCTTCACTGAGCTGAAGTTGGTTTTATATTCACATTGGGTCATTTCTGAGCAATGACAGCCTGTGACGCGCTCCCGATATTGTTCACCTTGCTACTCTGAATATTCGCTATGAAATAGCATGTAAGTGTGGCTTAGTAATAAGTGTAGTTCCTGCATGCCGCCGGCCAACCACTACATACACTTCAAACTAACGAATAACATGAACTGGTGGGTTGTCTGCTGTCGTGTCGCGGTGTGCTCATTTGAAATTTCAGAAGGCGTGGCTTTGAAACACAGTCCCTCCCCTGCCGTCCAAAGCTTATATGCTAACCTATTAGCATTTTGGCAAATCACCTACTGCACCTTTAATATATACATTAAAAATTTAAACTTATCGTCAAATACTGCTAATATTGAAATGCGGTTTATGAAATAATGATAAAACGTGCAATATTTGATGAGAGTCGTGTCCTAAACACGTTTACATGCCAATATTTCAGTTCAGTTATAGCACCACCTACTGGCAACAGGAAATTACGTTTTCCACTGTAACAAACTCCTACAATTTTTTTTTAAAGTTCGATAAGATTCCTCTCCTGAAGACATTTATATGCAAACATTAAGTTATAGCCATAGCGCCACCAGCTGACAGAAAAGGTTTTACATAAACTGGTGATTTTCTCAGGATTTTTTCTATTTATCAGCTTAAATTATTATTGCCCACTGTTTTCTGTCATCCTAAGGCCACTGAGGGTGGTCTTACTTTAAAATTTTGGCAGTTTTTTCATTCTGTTTTTGACAATCGAACACATTTGCTGAAACAAAACCATAAACTAATTTCATTTCAAATTTTAAAAGCACTTTCAAGGAACTGTGTTTGTTTTTGAGTACTATCCAGGCCTTGAATCCAACTGTCTGAAACTCAAGTACTTTGTAGTACTTTCAAGAAGGATGGGAACCCTGTATTTCGCACAAACAATATTCGATTAAACTGCCAAAATGCCACATACATTCTGAAAGCACTGAGCATTACTCATTAAGCAAAACCTTAAAAAGCAACCATATATACAGAAGTTAAAAGTTACTTTTGGACTCTTAAAGCTGCAGCCAGTAAAATTTCACACACTGAAATCTCTTTGAAGTCTCAAAATTACTTAACAATACAGCTAAATTGTAATAAAAGCATAGAAAATTATATAAAACAATCTAAATAATTTAGAATTATTACAAACATAATTTATATAATCAAATAAAATGTGTATTTGACATGTCTTGGGTAAATACACTCATTGTATTATATATGATGACAGATTAATCTTCTGTGCAAAAGATTTGTAGTAAAGATTTTCTAGTAATTCTGTCAATATTTCTAAATATTATAAAATCCCCACAAGCTGCAGCTTTAGGTTAACCAAAAGCTGAGTTTTACAGCATAAAGCACAACAATTCACCTAAGTCTACATAGGAAACACTTTATATTATAGTGTCCTGAAAACAAATGTAGTAATTTGGAAAATCTTTTAGTAATTACATATAGTCCTAAATTAATGTATAATCTTATAGTAAACACATATTTAATTAATATGATACAATTCTTAACTGTATAATAGGGAAACCATAAAATAAAGTGCAACCACAGCCTGTTTTTTAAAGATGCAGAAGTGTGATATTAATATATTAAAATGAAGAGACAAAGACAGATCAGAGAGCACAAGCCAGACAGACAGAGAAATAGAGATAGATAAAATGGGATGTGAGTGAATGGATGGGTGATACAGTGGTTGGTTTGGATGTCACTCGGGTCTACCGCTCTTGTGTCTTCCCCGTCCCCAGCCCCCGGACTCCCCCTACCATCTCTGTCTGTCGCACCTCAAAGGACATCTCCTCCTCTCCACCCTCATTCTCCTCCTCTCCACCCTCATCCTCTTCATCCATGTGGCAACTCTACATTCAGCATGACAAAGAGAAAATTTGTGGTATTAGGCTCCATGATGGGACATTTTAAAGAAAGTTAACATGAAAAAACTTAATGGATTAATCCATAAAGGCGTAAGGCTAGTTTTAACTAAAACAACACAAAAAAGGTAATTACAAATATTTAGATGTTGCTTTAACTTATTTTATTAAGTTAATCAGGTTTCAAGTAAAAATTTTAAGTGATACAAAGTTATATATTATATTTTAGTCAGTTTGATTGATAGTTGAGATGAGTAGAATTTTATTTGATTCAACTAAAAAATTTAAGACAGCAAGAATTCTTTGCAGTGTACAGAGTGTAGTTTGAAAATGCACAGCAATACTGTGCTTTTTCAAGATTGTTTTTAATAAAGGTTGCTTAAATATTCTAATGTAACTAATAATAATAATAATTATAATTATATTCATAATATATCCTATAAAAAAGTGATCATAATTTAAGCAAAGCTCTGTTTATGAAACTGGATCAATATGTCCACATTTGTTGTCGGTTATAAATAAAATTAAAATACATAATAAAAAAGGTGCAATTCCTCCTTGATTTTGTGATTCTGGGCAGCTTGTTCAGATTTTGGGCAACGCTAAATGCTGCTCAAATATGACTTTATTTCTCAGTGTTATTGTGTCCTTAATATAAAATACAGATCCAAACTGCACTTAAGCTAAAAAATAAAAAATAAAATAAAAAAATACAAATAAAAAGTAGACTTTATTTCTTAGTGTTCTTAGTCCATGGTGTTTCCTTATATAAAATTAGTTCATTGTGTCCTTAATATAAAATACAGATCTAAACCGCACTTGAGCTAAAAAAAAAATTTAAATAAAAAATACAAATAAAAAGTAGACTTTATTTCTTAGTGTTCTTAGTCAAGGTGTTTCCTTTATATAAAATTAGTTCATTGTGTCCTTAATAGAAAAGACATATCCAAACCGCACTTGAATTAAAAAAAATTTAATTAATTAAAATAAAAAATAAAATAAATTAAAAAAAGGATACAAATAAAAAGTAGATTTTATTTCTTAGTGTCCTTAGTCAAGGTGTTTCCTTTATATAAAATACTGATCCCAATTGCTCTTGAGCTAAAGCAAAAAAAAAAAAAAAGAAGAGAGAAATAACAAATTTTCATGATTGTTGTCTGTGCGTATTTTCACAGCAAAGCAACACAAGAATGTCTAAAATTTTGAGAAAAGCCCAAGTCATCAATAAAGCTGAAAAAAAAAAACTGAAAAAATACCCTGCAAAGTCATGGAGGAAATGCTAAAAATAGTTGTTATTAGTTTTCAATAAGACAAAAAAAGTCTTACCTTAGCCATGATATCAGCATATGCCATGTATAGGTGATCTATATCCAGTTTACTGTGACAGACAAAAGTAAGGACAAGGAGATAAAAACAATGAATCAACAGATATAAAAGGAAAAACCAAAAACATGCAAACATATCAAGCTTAGGATACTATAAGTGCACGCATAAAACCTAGCGGTTTAAAAGATAGTGGTTAAGTATGATTAAAATAAATACTAATTATTATTTTGGGAACATAGAAAGGATTGTTTAATGTTACCCTGGACCACAAACCCAATCACTAGGGTCTTATTTTATCATCTGAAAGCTGAATAAATAAGCATTTAGCACAAATAAGCAAATAAACATTGATGTATGTTTTTTAGGATAAGAGAATATTTAAGAAACAACAGTTTAAACTTCTAAAATGTGAGGGTTGAAAAAAAATCTGCATACCCTTGCATACCCTTAATAAAAAATTATGTTTTGATATATCTGAGGATGGAATTTTATAAAATGTCTTCACGGAAGATGATCTTTACTTAACATCCTAATGATTTTTGGCATAAAAGAAAAACCAACCCTGCTGGCATTTCCTAAAAAATGCCAGTGCAACTTTTTTTTGCTTAAAAAATAAATAAATAAATCACTTACAGGACATATTCTAACCCAACTTTCACTTTATTGTTTTTGCCAGAGACAGACAGTTTTCATGTGTTTTTATTACTCAGTATGGTTTTCAATCACTTATTTTATTTGTTGTATTGGGAAACATCTAAAGTTAATTTTTATTTCCAGGGTTCATCCACATTTATAGTACAAAAATCCCATGACTTTTTCAAGACTTTCAAAACAATTTTCATGACCTAATGTTTCCTGTAATGTCTACGTATACGTGGTAAATCATAAGAAAAACAATGAACGTTTAAATTTATTACAGCATATAATAAAACAAGCAACAATCTCTTTAGTTTTAATGTTTTTGGCCAAGAAAAGAAGTAAAAACAACTAACCTCCATTCCAGTATACAGATATTTGTCAAACAAATTTTAGATGATGTTAATAGTTTGTTAAACTAGCAATAGGAGGTAAAACTACTTCTATTGTAAAGCTGCGATCATACTGTACTTTTCGCTCCATAGACTTCCATTCATAGGCATGCGAATGAGGCAGACCAGAAACGCAAGCGTGTGCAACAAGGTTCACATTTTACTGCATTTGAAAGTTTAAGCTTGGTGAATTTTTACCTGCGAAATCGCATCACATGATTGCGTTAAACCAATAGAACAAAATTGGAAATAAGAAATTTTAAATATGGAGCAATCACTCACTTTTATTAACGTCTAATCATGTTGGTAAATACCACTCCTTTTCACAGCACCATACGACAGAATTTCACAAGTACAAGCTCTAGTGTGAACACAGCTTAAGACACTTTGGATAAAACGTTTGCTAAATGACTAAATGTAAATGTAGTTTCCATGACTTATCCAAAACCTTGTTCATTTTTCTGTTTTTCCAAAACTTTTCCAGGCCTGGAAAATGCCATGCCAAAATTCCACGACTTTTCCATGATGGTATGAACCCTGTATTTCTGTTCATATTACAAACAGTTTTAGTTTCATGGTAGTTTTATAAAATCTGCCTTTTACAACACAATGTTAATAATGCAATGGTTTAGGATTAAATAAAAAATGGCTGATATTTGAATCAGAATTTTAGTAACACTTTAGTTTAGTTTCATTTTTAGTAACATATTGGTTTACTTACCATTAGTCTCACATCTCTTAACTATTACCTGTTTATTATTAAGACATTGGCTGTTTATTAGTACTTATAAAGTGTTTAATCTGCATCTTCTTCTACATCTCTAATTCATAGTATTTTCCTAAAACCAGCTACTACCTGAAAAACTATTAACAAGTACCTGTAAACATGTTTATTATACTGTAAATCTAAGAATTGGTTTATTTTGTATTAGATTACATAAAGCCATGTGAACAATGTATATGTCTCGAGCAGTCTGCAGAACAGCCACGTCATGGCCATGTGATGCTCTCTTTTGACACTAGTAACCAAGTGTTTAATTGAGCAGGGATCTCACCTTTTCTCAGTGAGTGCTGTGCGACTAAAGTGAAGGATGAGCTGATGAAGAGGGTCTGGCTTTGTCTCCTTTTCCTCTTCCTCCTCTTCTTCCTCCTCCAATGCTTTCTACATTGTGAAGAACATTATGTGGATTACATGTCTAAACGTTGCTTAAATGCATGTTTTGTGTTGCTAATGTGTGAGCACATACAGACAGGTCATCAATCATTCTGTCCTCAAAGGAATAGCCTTCATTTCTTATCCAGTTGCGCTTGTACCCATCCAGGAACATATTAGATGCTCTGTGTCTGAAAGAAAGACGTTAATGTATATTCTGAACCTTTTTCTCCTCGTTTCATTTTATGAAACAGCTGGGGCTGGTGCAGAAATGACTGATAATGAATAGGATCTGTCTTGTCTTATTACCTGGGCAAGTTGTAAAGTGGAGTCATCCTGAAACAGGCCACCACCGCTCTACGCCGCTGCTTCGACAGCAGTTTGTGCCAAACCATCTTTTTGGACTTGAAAGGGTGCTCCGTCTGAAGGAGGTAAAGACTTTTTTTTAAGAGGTGTTAAAAAAAAAAAAGTCTGATTTTAAGATAAAGATGCTCAGGGGACAATTTTTGGGGTTGATTCCAGGAATACCAACAATGGGGTCTTTTTAAAGCCTTAATATTGTATTATACAGCATAAATTACAATTGAGGCAAAATTATTACCTCTCAAGTGAAATTTTTATTCTTTCTCAAATATTTCCCAAGTGATATTTAATGAAGCAAGGCTATTTTTCATGGTATTTCCTGTAATATTTTTGCTTTGGAGACAATCTTATTTCTTCTAGTTTAGCTGGATCAAAAGCAGTAAAAAAATTGTTTCAAACTACAGTATTTGTAAGATCAATATTATTAGATCCCTTAGAAACAAACTTGCCTATTTAACTTGCCTAGTTAACCTCATAACCTAGTTATGCCTTTAAACTGAACTTAAACTGAATACTAGTATCTTGCAAAATAACTAGAAAATAGTATGTGTTGCCATTATGGCTAAGACAAAAGAAATGAGTTGTTAAAACTGTTGTTTAAAAAATAAGTTGAAAAAAATCCATGAAACAGCACTTTATTCATTTTCCTTCAGCTAAGTCCCTTTATTCATCAGGGGAAGCCACAGTGGAGTGAACCGCCAACTTATCCAGCATGTTTTACACAGCGGATGCCCTTCCAGCTGCAACCCATCCCTGGGAAACATCCATGCACATGTAGTCTTATTCAGTTTATTCAATTCCCCTATAACGTATGTGTTTGGACTATGGGGGACACCAGAGCACCAGGAGGAAAGCCACACGAACACCGGGAGAACATGCAAACTCCATACAGAAATGCCAACTGATCCAGCCAAGAGTCGAACCAGCAACCTTCCTGCTGTGAGGCAACAGTGTTAACCACTGAGCCACTGTGTCGCCCTTTAAAAAATATTTCTAAAGGAAATTAAATATTACATGAAGGCTAATCATTTCAACTTTAACCACGTATGAATGTTATAACTAGCCATTGTTATTTAACAAGGAGGCCCTAACTTGACCAGAAGTGACAGTAAAGCCCAGTTTCATAAAAATGCCTATACATTTCATAAGCAACAATTTATAATTTATTTGCAACAAATTTTATTCTTGTGGGAAAAAACTCTTGAGATTGTACCTAAAGACAAGATCAAATCAAAAAAAAGACAAATGACACTTTAAACTTATACATTAATATATAAGCATTTCTAATATTTATTAAGAAAGTAAAGCCAAGTCTATCTTCATGGCAAAAGAGTTAATTTTTAAGGTAAACAGAATTTCAGTAAAAAAATTTGCAATGATTTACCTACACAGAACTGACTAAAGCAATATGACCTGATGCTGCAGTATAGTGGCAGGGTATGTGACTGGTCACCAAAATGTACACGACTTTGAATTAAAACTCACCACTTCAATGTGGTAAAGGACCGCAGAGACCTCCTGAACCCTCTTGACCACATTCTCTGGGGCATCTGCATCTTCAGCCTTTCCTGCCATTTCCTTATACAGTGCCATCTGCCACCTCATAGATGGGTTATCAACCTGAGAAGAGGAGAGAAAGAGATATAGCATTCAGACTCCATCCAAAAATAGCACAATCACACAGACATACACTTACCTTTCCCTGAAGGTGCAGGTTATTTTGCAAGAACTCTCTGACCTCCTCATCTGTGTCTTTCTATGGGTTAACAAGACGACAGAAAGCCTTAATTCACTTGTTTATAGACCAACCTAAAGCGAATCTTCATATTTATAAACAGTAAATGCTATTAACAAGAGCAAACGTAGTTCCAGTTTAATTCACAATTTAAATAAAAGTGATTTGACACCTTTGGTTCAAAATCACATTTGCTCTTGGATTCCATTTGGCTAAAATAAGTTGAAATAAAGCAATTCAAATGAGCGTAAATGTGTTATAATTCAGTTATTCAAGTTACACCAACAATACATTTAATTAAGAGTCATGTTGGGTTCAGACTACACAATATCAGTCCAACTCTGGAATTACTCATTTAATATAGGGTATTATAATATTTTTATAATACCCTATAATAATTTAGGGTATTATTAATATTTAATTAGGGTATATATCATTTTATTGTGTAAACAACAATGTGTCGGGATGCAAAAAGATTTCATTTTTTTAAAGAGCCCCTATTATGGGTTTTTAAAATTGACCTTCCATGCAGAGTGTAACACAGCTCTAAATGAATGAAAACATCCAGACAAGATCTAAATCTAAAAAAGTGCACTGTGTTTAAAACCACTGATTCTTCAAGGAAAGAATTGACTCAGAGTCTAATGAATGATTCGTTTTGTGTTCGAATCTTTTGCCTGCCCATATGGCGACATCGCCAAATATTAAGTGCTGGATCGGGGGGAAATGTAAACGCACCTTTCCGTTCAGACACTAGCGAAGCGCAGTGGATCATGGCATTGGTCATGACACGAAGATTATCACTGAGAGATGGGCAGATATGCAGCTGTGGGGAATAAAGAGATAAATACCAGGTGCTGTGTTTGTTCCTGTCACTGTTCTGATGATTTATATATAACCTACCCTGCAACATCAGCCGTTTGTTATTAAAAGGAAGGGGCAGCACAGTCTATTTATGTATGGGACTTTGTCAGTAACTATTACAAAGTTTATATGGACCAGTTTCTTCTTCCTTCAGATCCTGTAAGTGTTCCTATATAACCTTTAAGTGTGATTAAAATGGTTGCCTCGTTTTCTGTGGTTTGCAAAATAAGTATTTCAAGAATTCACACCTAGCTCATGATTTATAAATAGCTTTTTTGGTATGCTGTCCTGGGAGACAGCCCTGAGCTCAGGGGATTCTCGGGTCGAGAGCTCTCTCCCTTTTACAGGGCGAGGGGAGATTGAGCTCAGGTTGATCTCAAAACTCCACCGCTGCTGAGGCTAAGGTGAACTTTCTGAGAGTAAGACATTTACAAAAAAGATTTAGGCTTATTTTGTCTATAATATAGAGCACAGGTGTCAAACTCAGTTCCAAAAGGGCCGCAGCTCTGCACAGTTTAGTTCCAACAATAATTAAACACACCTGATTAAACTAATTAAGTCCTTCAGGCTTGTTTGAAACCTACAGGTAAGTGTGTTGGAGCAGGGTTGGAACTAAACTGTGCAGGGCTTCGGCCCTCCAGGAATTGAGTTTGACACCCCTGATATAGAGCATATTTGGATGATGGGAGGAAACCGGGGAACCCGGCGGAAACCCATGTGGACACAGAGAGAACATGCAAACTCCACACAGAAATACCCGATGGCCCAGCGAGGACCCGCCGCCATTGGTATTCTTGCTGTGATGCAACAGTACTAGTCACTGGGCCACCATGCCGCCCATTCTGGATAAAGGTGAAAGAAGGGGAGGAGGGGGGCTTTTTCCAGAGGAAGATAGTTGTAGAAAGGAAATGAGGATATATATATATAGTGACTTGGGATTCTTTGATTGGAGGATCGTGATTAGCTAATGTGGGTCAGCTGGGTCAATCATGAGCACGCGCTCCTCTCAAAATTAGTTTAATATTAAACTTCACTTAACTGTGTTGTAACTTGCTCTTTAATAACACACAATGCTATGTCTATGATGCTCCAGGATTTTTTCCGAAAGTAAAATTTATCATTTTTTCCTGGCACTCCACTATGTGTGAGACACTTCTTGCTGCAGGGCCACTTGGGCTCCAATAAGGGGGAACTTGAGCTCCAAATCCTCCACCTATAAGCTGTTTTAATGTGTACACCCACCCCACCCCTAACCCTCAGTGACATCACTTGTAGAACAAGTGAAAGGAAGGAGGAGCTGGAGCTCAAGCTCCCCCTTGCTGGAGCTCAGCTCTGCCCAAGTGGCTCTGCAGTGAGCACCACTTGCTTTGGGTTATGCAATGAACATACTGTAGGTTAACATCTATAATGTTGACCAGCGGAAGCACTAAAGAGTCCACACACAGCTCGTAAAGATAGCAACAAGAAAGACAGACAATGATGCAATGTGTCTACTATTTTGGTTTTCCCTTCTTTTTTGGACTTTTCTTTTACATAGATAGCCAGTTCAAAACACACTTTATTAATTTATTCTTTCATTCATTCATTTTCTTGTCGGCTTAGTCCCTTTATTAATCTGGGGTCACCACAGCGGAATGAACCGCCAACTTATCCAGCAAGTTTTTACGCAGCGGATGCCCTTCCAGCTGCAACCCATCTCTGGGAAACATCCACCCACACACTCACACACACACTCATACACTACGGAGAATTTAGCCTACCCAATTCACCTGTACCGCATGTCTTTGGACTGTGGGGGAAACTGGAGGAAACCCACGTAAAGGCAGGGAGAACATGCAAACTCCACACAGAAACGCCAACTGAGCCGAGGTTCGAACCAGCGACCTTCTTGCTGTGAGGCGACAGCACTACCTACTGCGCCAATGCCTCACCATAACACATTTTATATTAATGCTTATTTAATTTAGTCAGTCACTAGTTCTGCCTTTTGACAACTTTAAAGAAGGTAAATAAGGACTGGTCAGGAAGCAACATGAATCTGAAGTGTCTTGTCAACAACAAAACAAGAATTTTGGGGTTAAAAACTGGAGACAAAAACAATTGTGTAGTCTGAACCTAGCATAAGATATACATACAAACAGACAGACAGAAATACTGTGAGCACTATACCAGAGAATAACGTGTCTTTGCCAGATTAATCAGCTCCTGGTCTGCAGGAGAACACATGTTAAGTCCAATGGGAAGCATTTTCTTCAGTGCGGCCACAATGAGGGACGTTTGCACAGAGTATCGATCCCCCCGTCTCTTTTTCTTGGTACGCTCCACATCCGACCCTCCAGCCTGAGATGACAGTAACATTCAAAGCATGACAACTGGCATAGACATCATGAAATAACCTCCAGTGAGACTATACGACACGTTTTATAAGATTTCCAAGACCAAAAATTGGACGTCCACCTAATTCGTTAAACAAAAATCAAAGCTTCCTGTTTCCCCAGAACACTGAACGCTCCAATCCATCCTTACTCGAAGGCACTGTTTCAGTTATTAGATTTTATCTTTAAGTTAGGACTTCTTTAGAGAACAGTCCTTGGAAATGAGTCATTCTGATTAATAGGGTCATTAAGAGGGAAGGAAGGGTAAATGTTCAGGGTTGCTTTTCATCAGAATAGACAACAACAGTGGGGCTTAGTGGGGAAGACAAGGCATAATATAAAAAGACTGAAGCTGAACTCTCAATTGTATTCTTAACAAACAGGCGGCAACATCAAATAGGGGACAGAGTCATTCAACTGTAACATCATCTTAGCTTAGACACAGAATAAAATCAGGCATTACAAGGAGGCTTGTATTGTAATTTGTCAGTAGAGCTTAACACACTCCATGCACTGAAAAGATCTGCAAGGGCATGCATAGTCAAAACATGCTCAGACTCAGAGGAAGGAAGAGGACCTGCAATCGCGCTGTAAAACTCATTCAGTGGAGGTAATTAAAAAACTAAAGAGAAATTATTACTTTTGAGTAATTTAAGGTTACCATATTTAAAAAAAAAAAAAAAAGCTCTTACCTACAGAGAAAAAGAAATAATTTCATTAATCTTTGGTCACGCATATCAGGTTTGGACCAGTTTTGCTCCTCTAATCCAACACTTTCCAAATTTAAGACATTGGCTATCATTAAAAAATTTCTACGCATTGCAAGTTACTGACTTGAATGCAATGTTTAACGGCTGCTTTTGAATGAATAACAAATATTTTCATTCTGCTTAAGCTTCATGAAAGAGACAATATACTAGTGTGTGTCAGTTAAGGTAGAGTAATGGTTTTCTGGGCTTGGTCTTAACCCTGCAAAGCCTATACAATGCATCTGGAAAGTATTCATAGCGCTTCACTTTTTCCACTTTTTTATGTTACAGCCTTATTCCAAAATGGATTAAATTTATTTATTTCCTCAAAATTCTACACACAATAGCCCATAATGACAATGTGAAAAAAGATTACTTATTAAAAAAGCTGAAAATCACATGTACATAAGTATTCACAGCCTTTGCCGTGAAGCTCTAAATTGAGCTCAGGTATATTCTGTTTCCACTGATCATTCTTGAGATTCAGCAGCTTAATTGGAGTTCACCTGTGGTAAATTCAGTTGATTGGACATGATTTGAAAAGGCATACACCTGTCTATATAAGGGTTGACAGTGCATGTCAAAGCACAATCTATGCTTGAAGACAAACGAATTGTCTGTAGACCTCTGAGACAGGATTGGGGAAGTTTGGGGAAGGTTTCAGAAAAATTTCTGCTGCTCTGAAAGTTCCAATGAGCTCAGTGGCCTCCATCATCCGTAAGTGAAAGATGTTTTGAACCACCAGGACTCTTTCTAGAGCTGGCTGGCCATCCAAGCTGAGTGATCTGGGAAGAAGGGCCTTAGTCTGGGAGTTGATCAATAACCCGATGGTCACTCTGTCTGAGCTCTAGTGTTCTTCTGTGGAAAGAGAAAAACCTTACAGAAGGACAACCATCTTTCCAGTAATCCACCAATCAGGCCTGTATGGTGGCCAGACGGAAGCCCCTCCCCGCTTGGAATTTGCCAAAAGGCATCTGAAGGACTCTCAGACCATAAGAAACAAAATTCTCTGGTCTGATGAGACTAAAATTGAACTCTTTGAAGTGAATGTCAAGCGTTACATTTGGAGAAAACCAGGCACCACGCATCACCAGGCTAATAGCATCTCTACAGTGAAGCATGATGGTGGCAGCATTATGCTGTGCGGATGTTTTTCAGCAGCAGGAACTGGAAGACTTGTCAGGATAGAGGGAAAGATGAATGCAGCAATCTACAGAGACATCCTGATTGAAAACCTGCTACAGAGTGCTATTGACCTCAGACTGGGGCGACGGTTCATCTTCCAGCAGGTCAATGACTCAAAGCACACTGCCAAAATAAATCACTGGAGTGGCTTCACAACAACTCGGTGAATGTCCTTGAGTGGCCCAGCCAGAGCCCAGACCTGAATCCTATTGAACATCTCTGGAGAGATCTGAAAATGGTTGTACACCGTTGCTTCCCATCTAACCTGATAGAGCTTGAGAGGTACTGCAAAGTGAAATGGGCAAAATTTCCCAAAAACACGTGTGCCGAAAAATCTTTTTTCACATTGTCACTATGGGCTATTGTGTGTAGAATTTTGAGGAAATAAATGAATTTAATCTATTTTGGAATAAAGCTGTAACTAAAAAAGTGGAAAAAGTGAAGCGCTATGAATACCTTCCGGATGCTATGTATATATAAAATAAGATATAAAAGAATAGTTTATTTAACTTTAAAGGGTAAGTTCATCCAAAAAAATTTAAATTCTGCAATTATTTACCCTTATTCACAAAAACAATAAAACAACACCAAATCAACACAAGCAAACACCATACTGCTCATAGTAAATGCGCACCCTGACCATACCTTAAAGACATCGGCAAATAAAGCTGTTTTTATTTTTGAGTGCACAAAAGGAGCTTCATATGGTTACAGTTTAGAGCCACTGAAGTAACATAAAAATGTTTTAACAATGTTTTTGTTTACTTTTCTGAACATCTCGGGACCACTGAGGTCTATGGAGGATCAAAGAGCTCTCTGAATTTAATCTAAAATATCTTCATTTTTAAAGTTTCCTGAAGGTCTTATGTGTTTGAATGGCATGAAGGCAAGTAATTAATAACATTTTTTAAGATTTTCATTTTTTGGGTGAACTAATGATGGGTTCACACCAATTGCGGAGCACCGCATCACTAGCTCTGGTTTACTCACAGGATGTTTTTCAGCTCAAGTGAATTTCCCACTCAAATAGAATTACTTGAATTACAGCAAACACGTCTACATTTTATACTTTTGGTGTGAACATGCACATCCCTTGAAGAGAAATTATAATTCAAGAATATGGGTTTTTGATATTGGCTTTTTCAGTATCATGTTTGCCATATTAGGCATTTAAAGTATTCTCTTATATGATAAATTAGGAACAAAAAGCTCATTCTTGAGGAAGAAACAATACATCAAACTAAGAAAAAACAAACAAACAAAACTACTTAGTGCAGTTATTCGTATTTAGATGGGCAAAAGGTAAGATTAAATTCTTAACAATAGCATTAAATTACAATAGCTTGTAATTTAAATAAATGAAATCTTGATAACAGTATAGAAGACTGCTTACAGTAAATATATCAATATAAATATGAATTGTCACTCGTTATCTCCTATTACAATCTCAAGAAATTAATTAAATACTTTTATGATTAAAGTCATCGTCACACCACCGAGATGCTTAAATTAAAGTACTTAAACCACTTCAACTATCATAAACGAAATAGCAGAATTTACAGGATTAAGACCATTCAAAATCAAATAAAAATGACCTAGGTGTAGGTTTCAAAGCGTATTATCAGAGTTTGAAGTCTAAATACAGATAAAAGAAGGACCCATCTATCAGAGTTAATGCAACTTAACAATTAAAGCTGCATTTTACATGTTATATTAGTTCTAAAGTCTGTAAGTGTAATCCCCTTTTCCATAAACCCGCCTCAATCATTTGTTTTTGATTGCATCAGGGGTCATGGGTTAAAAGGGGTGGATGGGGAAACAAAAAATGGATCAACATGGAGGTGTAAGCCATTAGTACAGAAACAATTGCTGTTAAGGTGGAATTTAGTAGGCACACGTTAGAGGATGGACTCTAAATGCTCCCCCTTTTGTAAAGGAGGATGTATGACGCAAATATACATTAATTGAGGTCAAATTCCTTCACAAGAATCCAGTTTAGGAAATAAACTGAAATACAGTTTGATTCGTGTGCATTCTCAGTTGACTTCCTGAACAGATTTAAAAATTGACCCCAACCTGCAGCCGTTATACGAAAGGAAGATAAGAGATGTATGAAGATCCCCATCCGAATGCAAACTGCTGTAACAGGGTGATGGCACAGGCCTCCAGGGGCTCGAACCCTCAGAAACGAACATGGAATCAAGTGCCATGAGCCTCTACAAAGAGTTCTTTCATCAAACGCCTCCATTCAGACTCCCCCCCTCACACACTGGCAGGACGACGGGCAGCCTGTGGCCCTTGTGTCCGTGGGGATGGGACGGTTCTTGTGACTCAAATTGAATCATTAGGCCAATTTAAATTTGCACCGATAGAGCCAAAAGCAGCGACCTGTTAGTGTCAATTGACGCTTCTTGTTAATGGAATATATTGAATTGGCACTGATGAGAATGCACTCAAAAACTATATTCATGCTGCTTGTTCTAATTACGTATTTAATATAAGCTGAATCAACACAATTCTTGAGTTTTTTTGAGGTGTCAAAATATGTTCAATCTACTTAAATTTGTACAAACAACTAAGTTAACTTAATCAATTTGTGTTGGGACAACATGAAGGAATTGTATGAAACCCAGCATTTTTTACATACTGCAATTGCTTTGGTCACCATGTTGTGGGGCAACGCACTGATATACAGTAATGGACATCGATATTTATCAAATGATTTCTGATCAAAATAAAACCAAGAGCATATTGACTCTAGCATTGAAAAGGTAGATACATTTTTACTGATTAACTGTAAAGGGACATAATTGTTCTTGATTCAGCAATGTTCCCTATGTCAATTTAATGCTAAATATATAAGGTATGTTCTGTATTAATGATTCAATAAATGAGTGTTCAATAAATAGAAGTATCAGTGTTGTTCTAGTGTCACTGAGTAACTATTATTCAACCCCAAATCAGAAGAATTTGGAACAGTGTGAAAACACTTCCTGTGTTCACTTCCTGTGTCCACTTCCACTTCCTGTAAAAAATCAACCTTCCCATTTAGATGTTTGATTTAATGCTTTAATTTAAGTTTTATTTTTTTTATTTAAATTTAGGCTTAATTTTTAGTTTAATTTATTTAAGTTAAATAAAAAAAGAAATTATATTTATTTGATTAAGATCAAACTATAATATATGTTAATGAGACAAAATAAAATAATAAGCAAATGACTAATATTTATATCAATATTAATTAATATTTGTAACCTATCAGTGCATCCCTGCATTTTACCCATAATTCACAGAATTAATCAGTTCTTGAGAACTTTATCGAAGTTAAATAGTTTCTTAAATAGTTACAAATAAAAAAAAGAAACTAGTGATTTCCAAATTTACTTTGACTCTTATTTCATTGTAGACAATATAAACAAAATATTTCATGTTTTGTCTGGTCAACTTCAACTCATTTGTAAATATACATCCTTTTCTGTTATTCAGACCTGCTACACATTCCAAAAAAGTTGGGACAGAGGTGATTTAGGGCTAGTAATCAGGTAAACTGGTTAAATAATATTGTGATTTGAAACAGGTGACTGTGATGATTTGGTACAAAAGAAGCATCCAAGAAATGTCAAGTCCTCTGGGAGCAAAGATGGGCCCAAGACAAACTTGTGAGAAAATTATTGAAATGTTTAAAACAATGTTTCTCAAAAAAAGATAGGAAGACATTTAGATATCTCACCTTCAACATTCTATAACATAACTAAAGGATTCAAGGAATCTGGAGGAATTTCAGTGCATTAAGGACAAGGGCGCAAGCCTAAGCTGTACCACCGTGATCTCCGTTCCCTCAGGCAGCATTGCATTAAGAATAATCATTTCTCTTTAGGTGATATCACCACATGGGCTCAGGACTACTTTGGCAAATCTTTGTCAAGTACCACAATATGTAGTTACATTCCACAAATGGCAGTTAAAACGGTACTGTGCCAAAAATAAGCCTTATGTTAACAGTGTCCAGAAGCACCATGGACTTTTCTGGGTTCAAAGTCATCTGGGATGGACCATTATTAGAAACATTATTAGGACATTAGAAATGTGTACTGTACTCAGTATTTTAGGTATTTCTTGGGAGAAATGGATGCAAAGTGAAATTAAATTTAGAAATTACTACTTTCTTTTTGTTATTTGCGTTTTCCATACTGTTGAATTTTTTTATTTTTTTTATTTTTTTTTTTTTTGGATTTGGTGTTGTAATTTTTATTTAGAATTTTATTTGTTTTTTGTTTGTTTTCAATTTTCAATTTTCAATTTTTTTGGTACGCTGATCGCACAAAAATCAACCTTCCCATTTAGATGTTTGATTTAATGCTTTAATTTAAGTTTTTTTTTTTTTTAATTTAAATTTAGGCTTAATTTTTAGTTTAGTTTATTTAAGTTAAATAAAAAAGAAATTATATTTATTTGATTAAGATCAAACTATAATATATGTTAATGAGACAAAATAAAATAATAAGCAAATGACTAATATTTATATCAATATTAATTAATATTTGTAACCTATCAGTGTATCCCTGCATGTTCCCATAATTCACAGAATTAATCAGTTCTTGAGAACTTTATCGAAGTTAAATAGTTTCTTTTTATGTCTGTATACCATGTCCATAAAACTACTGTACTAAGAACAAATTAGGGTTAAAAATTGTGATGATATCTAGCATGATGTCTTTCTCTAAATGACACGTGAAAAAGCGTGTTATTCCTATGGACACTAGTTTGGTCACAGTTATGAGTGCCAGTGTGTTGGGGGAGTTGATGAAATGCGCCCCCCTAGATGTGAGGTGCCATGCGGTAGCACAGCAGTCGTGCAGACAGAAAGCTAACCTCAGAGTCCCCGGCCTAGAAACCCACCAGCATCCAGACGAGAAAAAAAAAGAGGAGTCAGAGAGAGAACACCATTAACACTGGTATCTAAATCCTGTAAAACCATATGCATCCCAAAAGCACTTGCACATGATGGCAGCAAATCACTGACTCAATATCCTCAGAAAAATCATGAAAAGCTTTATACTTTACCTTTTGTTGTGGGGCTTGACGCCAAAACAACCACTGGCTACAAATACTTTTTTTTTTGGTTTCCTTTTGTGTGTTATCATTTTTGAGAAAGGATAAATAGAAGAAAAAATATGCATACTCTCACACACACACAGCTATGCAAAAAAATCAATTCTCAGTTTCCCATTAAATAATAAAATATGTCCCATGTTTTCATTTGTTTTTAGGCAACAAAATTAACCAATTGTCATTTTCCAATTAAAAAAAAAAATTTAATGCAATATGCTTTTTATTTTTTCTTAAACCCATGTCTAATAAATCCTGAAAGACTGACAATTTTCAAGTCTGTTATTTTTTCTCATAGCTGTGTATAAATACTATAATATGTTAACACAGCAATAACAGGGTTTCTGCAGGTTTCACCAAGTTAACTTTAAGACTTTTTAAGACCATTATCAATGAAATTTTAGACTCATAAAGGGCTAAATGCTAAGGAATTTTTTAAATGGCCCAGATGGAATAAACTGTTATTTGCCCTATCAAAAAATGTATTATAATACATTATTAAAAATTATAATATATTCTAAATATTTTAAATATTACTTAGCAAAAGTTTAAAGTTTTATTGACATGGATTGTAGGTGATTATATGGGTGTTGGCCAGATTGGATAGGTATTTATGAACAGGAAAATTAAGACCTGTTTAAAAAAGATTAAGACCTACAACACATTTATATATACAGTTGAAGTCAGAATTATTAGCCCCCTTCAATTTTTTTTTCTTTTTAAAAATTTTTCAAATGATGTTTAACAGAGCAAGGAAATGTTCACAGTATGTCTGATAATATTTTTTCTTCTGAAGAAAGTCTTATTTGTTTATTTCGGCTAGAATAACAGCAGTTTTAAACTTTTTAAACACAATTTTAGGGACAAAATTATTAGCGCCTTTAAGCTACATTTTTTCTCGATAATCTACAGAACAAACCATCGTTATACAATAACTTGCCTAATTACACTAACCTTCCTAGTTAACCTAATTAACCTAGTTAAGCCTTTAAATGTCACTTTAAGCTGTATAGAAGTGTCTTGAAAAATATCTAGTCAAATATTATTTACAGTCATATTGGCAAAGATAAAATAAATCAGTCATTAGAGAAGAGTTATTAAAACTAATATGTTTAGAAATGCGTTGAAAAATTTTGCTCTCCGTTAAACAGAAATTAGGGAAAAAATAAACAAGCGGTCTAAAAATTCAGGGGAGTTAATAATTCGGACTTCAACTGTATATATATAGTAGGTCTTAAATATGTCAATATTCAATAAGTTTAAGACTTTTTAGGGCCTAAAATTTTGATTTTGAGATTTAAGACATTAAGACCCCGCGGTAACCCTGAAATAAACAATGAAATTTATTTATTTGTTAAATAATATTGGAATTATTAAATTATATAGATCTAATACAAATATATAAATTAGCAACTTAAAGTATTTAAGTAAAATTTAAGTACTTTATATAGAATAGGTATTGGAAATATAAAAATTTGAATAATAAAATATTAAAATGCAAATCTAATATTATTATTAATAATAATAATAATAATAATAATATTTGAAGTTACTAGAATTTAGTATATACTTTAGTATATACTAAAGTTCATGTATAAACTAAAATGATAAATACATAACAATAAAACAACTTTCAAACATTATAATAGCATATAAATAACAATAAATAAACATGCCTGACAACTAGGGCTGCACGATATTGGGAAAAATGTAAATTATATAAATTTATTGAGATTAATATTGTGATTTTTGTCAAGTTAGTTTAATGATTTGGGATAGATTGGGATGATTTTGTAGGAGAGTGCATAAAATATAATCAAGTTACAAGCGGAGATAGAGCAAATATACAAATGAAACGAAAATAAATTAATCAAATGTACAATAAAGTTGTATATTCTTCATTGTGTAAATAATTAAATACAGTTAATCCTTGTTGAAGCTACAAATGTAATTTTTGCTTGTGCCCAGATGCTTTAAACTTGCTTAAAATGTTTAAACAGACCTTAAAAACACAAGCCACCGATGAGCTTTTACTTTATATATTATGGTTAAACTAAAAATGACAAAATTCTCATGAGTTCTAAGATGTTGTACCTGGTCAACTAAAACCCTGACTCCACATTCCCTGTCCTGCGATGTGACTATTGTGTATTCACACATTGCAATATCGATGATGAAACGATATATTGTGCAGCCCTACTGACAACACAATCTTGCTTAAAGATTGAAAAGTGAATCAACCTTAATCTTATAAGTAAATATTGAAATATTACATCTAATACAAACATGACGATCATGTATTGAAAGGAATCAATGAGCAAACAATAAAGTTTCCCATAGACTGACAATACAGGCCTCACCTTGCTCATCTTGCTCTTACTGTCAGCAGTGAGAAAGGACATATTGTTGATTTCGTTCATCACCACAAAGTTTTGCTCCTCTCGCTTGAAATTCTGCATTAAGATGAATCAGAAATTGAAGAACAATCAAAATTCCAGCAATTTTTGTTCAAATTATTTTTTTTTTTTGACTGCTGACACTTAAATGATGTTCTCTTACGTGAGATTTTGACCAGAAGATGAAGACCTCTCCCACCATGCGGAACAACTCCTCAGCATCTGGGTCTCGAAACGTCAGCCATCTTGCTCTAAAAAAAACACATACAGAGGGTGACAGTTTAAAATGACCATTACTGCTGGGTGTGCCGCCGCGGTACAAAAGGATTAAGAACATGTTTTTAGGTGTGACAGCAGTTTGCGACTGTACCGCAAGGGAGCACAAAGAGACGGGATGCGAACGGACATAAATTTTTACAGTAGTTGCAAATACCCTGCTACTTGTAAATGAAGATGAAATAAAGAAACAAAGCATTATAATACCTCCTTTAATCGTTAAAGACTTGTTAACAAGCTTTATTGTCATTGTAAACTTAAGTGCAATGAGGATTCATTTTGAAGTTGAAGTCAAAATTATTAGCCCTTCTGTTAGTTTAATTTTCAAATATTCCCAAAAAGATTTTTTAACAGAGCAAAGATTTTTTTTCACAGTATTTCCTATAATATTTGTTCTTCTGGCGAAAGTCTTACTTGTTTTATTTTGGCTAAAATAAAGCAGTTTCTAATTTTTTAAAATACCATTTTAAGGTTAATATTATTAGCCCCTTTAAGCAATATTTTTTTAACACCTGTTATGCAAAGATTTGCCTAATTACCCTAACTTGTTTTAACATAGTTAAGCATTTGAATTGCACTTTAAGCTGAATACTAGCACCATGAAAAAAATGTAGTAAAATATTATTTACTGTCATCATAAGAAAAGATAAAAGAAATCAGTTTTCAGAAATTTGTTTTTAGAACTATTATGTTTAGAAATGTGTTGAAAAAATCTGCTCTCCGTTAAACAGAAATTAAGAAAAAATATACAGGGAGGCAAATAATTCAGGAGGGCTAATAATTCTGACTTCAACTGTACATTGACACTTTAAGACACGCTTTTATCCACTACCTGAACAGAAACATTTTATTAGTCCTTTCTTTCCGTGACACCTGATGAATAAAGGGACTAAGCCGAAAAGAAAATGAATTAATGAATTACATTAATAATATAAAGTAAGCGAAAAGAAGAGTCGGGGACAAATGGGAAGGTCAGCGAAGCTTAGCCGAGATCCATCCCTAGGTGGTCGCTCAGAAAAAAAGCAGTCTCTCACGAGCACGCCAAACACGGTTTTATCCACATTCCAACAAGCGGCACCTGTAAACCAATCACTTCACCTCCATCCTGTAAATAAAACACGCATTCACCACCGATAGGCTTGGACACCACACACACTCAGCCAATAGACTGGAAGATCACACACGCACTCAAAGCTCATAGGCTGGGACGTCACACTCACTGTTTCCAGCTAAAAACGCAAATTAACTTTGTGCACAAAATTTAAATATCGGACAAAAGATGTGCAAATAAAGCAGCGTTTTCATCCGACGAGTCAAAGAGAACAAAATCGTCACTTCCTGATTATCTGGCACCAAATATCAACAGTAACAACTGAATTTACTGCAGTAGAAGAAGCTGCATGAATCTTTTCTTTATTCAATAAATGACTTGCGCCTCAGAAGACTTTGCTGAGACATATAACAACACTAATATTGAGATTGTTAAGGCATTTTAGAATGGCCAAAACAACATTTCAGATGTTTTACAATGTGCTCACTCTGCTGGTTTGTCCATTCACACACATTTTTATCATCACATTACCTCTTATTACAAAAATCACATGACATCACATCTTTTCTCATCAAATAAAAAGTTTATCCTACTCAGTTATGTGCATTTTTAAAAATTGATGTGCATCTTGGCGCTTCCATCATCCGATGTGTTAAGCGCATATGCAAAATGTGCAAAAAAATAGGTGAATGGAAACATATTGTAGCTACTGAAGATCAAACCCACAAACTTGGCATTACTAGTGCCATTATTTGAGCTTCGGGATAGCCACAAAATGACTAGAAAATGTACACCAAGTTAAATGAACCTGTTAAATTGACCTACACAGGAACCACTTAATACCTGTTGTTATCCACATAGCGGATGAGAAGAGGATATAGAGCATAGAGGTCTCTACAGAGAACTGCAAACTCGTCTCTGATGGTTCCCTCTTCCTCATCTCCCTCAGACTTTCCCTCCAAACGCAGATGCTCCTCCTCGGCTACAACTTTAGACGTTCGCTTCTTCAGCTTCTCCATGGTGGGGATGAAGTGGGATTTGAGCATCTCTGGTTTGGCTCGGCTCACAATGGGTTGGGAGAACACTGGAACAACAAAAACAAAACATGTTGAACATCTGAGGCCTGATTCATAAAGATAGATTAGCATTTACGCTAATTAAAACACGATTAACCCTTTTCATACTAAAACCCGGTATTTAAGTTGTGGCATGACATTTGATACACATTTTTTATTACTTGAGGGTTCCTAAAATGTCTTTTTGATGGCAAAAGCTGAAATTTTATTTTTAAGCGATATAATAACACATACATTAAGGGGAAAAACAACTCATACCTGCAAGTCTCTTCATCCAGGAGGCTTCGTCGATTCCCAAGTTGTTGACCACGATTTTCATGATGCTTCCCAAAAGCTGGTTGAGGGATTCAGAGGTGACGTCGGTGCACAGCTTACCCTCCAGATCCGGGAAGTTCTCCAGTCCTCTCTCCCACCAGCGGGGCAGATAGTTACACAGCATGGGCAGAGTGACCTCAATCACATGTGGCATTTCAGTGTATCGAGCTCCCGATTCAGCCAGGTCTCCGATCTCCTTAAGTAAAACGTCAAGCTCAGGAATGTCCAAACACAGCTCTTGAACTTGGTTTGGAAGGCCAAGGACTGCAGGAAAAGTAAATTAACACTGTTGTGCTGATTTACAGTTGTAGTCAGAATTATTAGCCCTCCTAAATTATTAGCCCCCTGTGTATTTTTCCCTAAATTTCTGTTTAATGGAAAAAAGTTTTTTTTTTAACACATTTCTAAAAACAATAATTTTAATAACTTATTTCTAATAACTAATATATTTTATCTTTGCCATGATGACAGTAGGTAGTATTTTAATAGATATTTTTCAAGATACTAGTATTCAGCTTAAAGTGACATTTAAAGGCTTAACTAGGTTAATTGGGTTAATTAGGCAAGTTATGGTAATTAGGCAAATCATTGTATAATGATGATAACGATAGTACACACAACAATATTTTTGGTGAAACTAATCTTTGTAAACATATTTGTTTTATTCAACTAGTTAGCTATCTGCGCTCTGTGCCGGTGTTCCACATACTGTCAAATGCTATCATGCTTCTTTTTGGTAAACCAGACAATTATGACACGCACGCACGCACGCACGCACGCAATCATGAAAACAATTTAATATAGCTGATTTCTAGGAACATTTTCTAAGCATTTATCTTATTAATTGAATCTGTTTTGTCTTTATATATCAAGTATTTAAATTTACCTAAAAACTTCAATCAATCAAAACACTATAAACAACACTTCAAAAAACTCTGACCTGCAATATTGTAACAAAAAATACAGATTTGTTGATGATCATTGCTCCTTATTGAATAAGTGGAATACGTCTTTAAGGCCACCAAATTATTAGAAAATAATAAGCTTTGTGGCCGCATCATCACCTAAAGCCTAGTTCACACTACAGGATTTTAAACATCAGCAGATCGCTGTGCCGTTCACACTACATGACTTGACTTTATGTCTTTTAATATCTGCGGTGTTCACACTACGCAACACTCTGTGAATGATTCACAAGAGGGGGGTAACACACTACATGATCTGACAACAACTCATTCCCCATCAGCTCTTTCAAGCTACCAAACCACAGCCAATGAAATTTTGAGGGAGGAGTCGTCAGAAAAAGCTGAACACTATTGGCTGCTTGTGTGCGGATTACATCAGTGACAGCGTTTCAAGCTTTCCAGAAAGCATTTAAAAACATCATCAAATCAGCTGATTTATCAGCGGATTAATCACTCATCTGCAAGGTTCCAGTGGATAGATACACAGAGAGTTTTTAATTTTTGTAATTTTATAACTCTTTGAAATAAAACTAACATACTTATAACACCCTGCCGTTTTCTAACTATCAGTGTATATCTTTCTGACATTGTTATTTTTTTTATAACAAAACAGTAAAGAACTGAGCATTTCTGCCTTAAATTACCATATTGGTCAAAATGACTGCATGCATGTCTAATACTTTTCGCTGTGACTTTAAATATGTGTGCATTTTCTTGCCTAGCAACTTCCTGCTAACATAAACAAAACTTTCTGATGGCAAAAACATCAATTTACTTCAGATATCTTTCAAAACAGCATATTCTGTGCTGTGAAATAGCTCCTGTTTGAAAGTGGTAATGAAAGCCAAGACCTTTAAGTGTTTTAGTATCTTAACTACATATTTATAGGCTGTATTACCAAAAAAAAATTATATTTTTAGGGTAATGGTGTCATTAAATATGATGCGAGACATTCAAAGCTTAATTTTAATATCTCAATAATAGCTCTGAATGTAAATATGATGTAACAGTATGGCGTTTTATATGAGAACGGTCAGAATGAGCAGTATGGTAATTCTAATAGTTACATAATTCTAGTTCCACTGTTAATATATCCTCCTCTCATGTCTGTGCTAACGCAGAATGAAGCGAGTGCACTGATGCCCATTCTGACCAATCACAGATGTTTCTGCTGAGCTCCTGAACACACAGGCATTCAGCTCATGCTGATATGCTCTCTCATTGGCTGCAGCTCGTCACTACATCTGACCACACGTGGGGTTGAGTCGGCCGACTGCTCTGGAATATTTAGCATGCTGAATGTTGGATTTCCGTCTGCGAGGTGTCGGCGACGCGTCAGCGAGCCTCGTTGATGCGTTGCTCAGTAGTTCACACATAAAGAGCGGCGAGCGCCGTGCACCCGCAGATTTCTTCCCGATCACAGCCCGATCTGTCGGCGAGCTTGTTAACTTCCAAATCGGGCTCAAATCAGGCTTAAAATCCTCTAGTGTGAACTAGGCATAAGTTGCACTTTATTTTCTTATATTTAACAGACCGGACTCAAATATTCTGCTTATGATTAACACACTTCAAAACAATGAGTCAACACTTTAATAATAATAATAAAAGTAATAATCTGCAATATAAACCTTATCTACATTATGTGATTTGTTTTTATACTTTTATTGATTTAAAAAAATTAATAGAAGTATTAATTTATTTATTTTTTTTATATTTTTAATGATTTTAATGCTTTTCCCCCTTACATTTACTCGGGGTTCCCCCAAAACCAGCTTGAAAACCCTTATTTTGTTACCATTAAGTAGACACAGCAGTTATTCCCAAACACCACTACTCTATGAAAACAGTCTAAAAGTCAGCAACACGTACAAAAAAAGGATATACTGCTTCAACTTTGATGTGACAATTGATGTGAATGATAGCGTAACTGCAAAGAGATGACTTACTAGCTCTTTCTCTCGGTGTCTTGGTAGTGTAGACTGAAAAGGCATTGTATTCATTAAGATGCGGCTCCAGGTAGGCAACAGGCATTGCTGCAGCGAGATGAGCGAGACATTCTCCAAGGGCTGGTCTATGCCTAATATAAATAAAAAGTAAACATATGAAACACACTGTCATCACCTACAGACTTATATATTCATATACAAACACACTCTAACAAACCTCTCTGCATGTGGAGTTTTTACAGTCCCAAGAGAGTAGATGCTACACATGATTCGGTAGCAGGACATCTGCAAATCATCCACTAATAGAAGCAAAAAAACGTGAGACATTAATTTATCACTTTAACACTATATGATGATTTAGTTTTAAAAGTAGTCCTTACGGATAACATCATCTCCGAATTGGTGTTGAGCGATGTGGTCAAACAGTGATGTGAGGACAGGAAGCAAAGCCGTTGTGGTGTAGTTTATATTCTGGGACACACCTTTCACTGGCTGAGAAACAATAGTGTGTAAAACAACGAAGGAAATGAACAACTCATAGCAGTGCAAGTGCTCAAATTGTACCTGATTGCCTTTGGACACTTTGCCAAGTTTGAGATTCTCCACCATCTTTTCAATGTCATCAGCTGCACTCTCAAAGAACAAACGCAGTCCTGCTTTCACAATCTCAGGCCCGGATTTCATCACCGTCCTAGTAAAGTCACAGAATTGAAAAAGAGATGTAAATACATTTTTTTGCAATTGTATGTGCGTTATAACATCTTGAGGGAATACATTTAATTGTTGTTAATATTATTACTGAAAATAACATTTATTGTTAATAATAATAATACTATATAATATATTTGTATTGTAATGTAAGATTAAACAGTTGGATTTTACAGTAAGGTTAATGAAAATATAGTTGTTCATTGTTAGATCATGTTAAATCATGGTGCCTTAAAGGTAACTAGCATGAACTTGGATGTTAATAATGCTGAACTATGATTAATAAATGTTGTGCAAGTATTGTTCATAATAATTTATGTTAGTAAATACAATAACTAAATTAACTATGGAAACCTCATATCTATGTGGAAACCTTATTGCAGGGATGGCCAACCCTGTTCCTGGAGAGCCACCCGCCTGCAGATTTCAGTTGCAACCCATATCAAACACACCTGCCTGTAATTATCACGTGGTGATCAGGTCCTAATTAATTGGTTCAGGTGTGTTTGATATGGGTAGCAACTGAAATCTGGAGGAAGGTGGCTCTCCAGGAACAGGGTTGGCCACCCCTGCCTTATTGTAAAGTGTGACCGATTATACACAATAAAGAATAACCCCTATAATACTTTCCCTGCTGAGAAATCCAGCTTAAACCAGCCTAGGCTGATTGGCTGGTTTTAGCTGGTCGACCAGGCTGGTTTTAGAGGGGTTTTGGCCATTTCCAGGCTGGTTTCCAGACATCAGGCAGGAAAATGACCAGCTAAATCCAGCTAAAACTAGCTTGACCAGCCTGGTTAAAGCTGGACATAGCTGGTTTTGGCTGGGCTCCCAGCCTGGCTGGAAACCAGCCTGGAAATGGCCAAAACCCTATTAAACCAGCCTGGTCGACCAGCTAAAACCAGCCAACCAGCCTAGGCTGTTTTTTTCAGTAGGGTTTAAATTGTAAATGTAATACAATCAATAATAACAACAATAATTATTATTATTGAAATGTATTTATCATAAAAATATGATTTTTAAAGTATGTTTTTCAAAATGTTGATCATTTACTGTAACTAAGATGCTCTGAGACCATCAAAACAATGCTATCAGGAGTACATCAGATTATTCTTGCACATCAGATTTCATATATAACTACTATCCATTATTTAATAATGGTTAAAAACCACATCATATTTGTTTTTTTAAGATAAACAAGAGTTAAAGTCCAACTTAACATTACTTTCCAGTTTACTTTCAAATGTCCAACTGGACCTTTACTTTCGAGAACAAGTATTGGTAAGTAAGTGTTAATTTTAGGCCATGAATACAAAAAACAAGGGTTTGCACAATAATTCTGCATATTAACAATTCAATTAAAAGACTAACCTGGCATCAAGCGAACGTGCGAGGATATGAAGGCAGTTGACAATAGCAGGCGCATCCGTGCCTATGTATCAAAAACAGATGGTATTGTGTTATGGATAGAAATTCAGACCCATAAAACACATTTAATGTAGTTGCTAGAGAGTAACACACAAGAGAAAAGTAAAACACACAGAATAACAGTAGTAAGAAAACTGAAAAGAAAAGTGATGGAGGACAGGAGAGTAGATATCTTACCAAAGAGAAACACTCTGTGTCGCACCAGGGCAGACATCTTACAGAAAATGCTGATATATCAAATTAAAGGAAACCAAAAACACATCAAGAATGAGCATGGAGAAAGAAAAGAAAGCAGTAAGAAGACAAGGGTGAAATAAATAAGTAATATAAAAGAGATCTGGCCTTAGACTTCATATAAAGTTATGTATTTTGTAACCTTGCAATCATCTCCTTTTCCTTGTTTGAGGCGTGTCCGCCGCTGCCTAGGATTTTGGCCGGTGTGGAGAGGAAGTAAAGGCAGTGGTTTTTAAAATACTGATTTATCAAAGGCAAAAGAATCTGAGGAGAACAAACATATTTTACACGTTATTTACAGCCTGTACTGTACCCAGCGGACACCTCGATGTCAAAACAACATCAAAACACATCTGAAATGCAAATGAATTTGACATCAATTGAATAACTTGATGTCAAAATGACATCGAACATTGATGTCCTGTAATTGATTTTTGACATAAATGTTAGATGAAATTATGATGTCATTTTGATGGCAATTATTATCAAATTCATTTACAGGTTTACATGCATACCAGCGATACAAAATCCAGTGTAAATTTGCCATTTGCAATTAAAACTTTGAGATGAATAAAACATTTCTTACTGTAGCTTTCTTGGTGGTCAAAAGGTCATTAATATGTGGATATCAAATGGACGTCAAGGTTTTGACATCAAATTAATTAGCACTTTTGACATGCTTCATGCCAATTTCATGTCATTTTGACATCAATTTGCCTGCTGGGTACTGATTTTAAAGAAATATTTCTTGAAATTATAATGCATGAAATTCTGACCTTGGCAAAGAACTTGATTTCTTGCTCATGTGGTGACTTTTCCACACGACCGCTGCTCACAACCGCCTCTGTAAACACAGAAAAATAATATTAATCTCAGTTCATCCATAAATGTATCCAATAAAGCATAGCAGTCACCAGTACCAAGATGTGCTATGAACTCCTGAGCAATGTCCATCCACTTCAGAAGCTTCTGTAGGAAGCCATACGCAAAACGCTTCTCGATAGATGAAATGTCACTTTCCATGTCTTTGAGCCCTCTGGACAGAAAATTTTTATCAGGATAATTGCAAGTACATTTTTAGGGATAATATATGCATTTCAGTAGCTCCTGTACCTTGTCACAGCATATCCATTGAGCTGCAGAAACTTGAGTAGCTCATACGCTTTCTCTCTATCTCGTGCCTTTTCTTTAGCCGTCAGTGTGTCATAAGGCACAAGCAAAGGGTGTGTACCTCCTCCTGATTACAAACACATTAAGAGAGATATTGACGACTGCAAATGAAAGGAACTAAAAGATATAAGCTACAATAAGAGTTTAAATAAACAGCAAAATCATTCAAAAATTGCAAACCTTTTGCTTGTAATTCCATTTTCTTCTTACGGCCCCAGGTGTTGTGGTAGTTTTCTGCGAGCTGCTCTGCCATGGACTAAAAAAAACACAGTGTGCAGTTAGACAATATTCTCTATTGTATGTAAATTATTAATTAATCTAAAATCCAACACCCAAAATTAAAACTTATATTTGCATAATATATGTGTGTGCATTTATTATATTCATTTCATAATCATTTGACAGCACTAATTTAAAGCTATGGTAGGTAATTTCAGATATGTAAGCAATATCAAAAGCCTTTATAATTGTTCTTATTGAAGGAGCGGTGTTTTTATTGGATGGAATGTTGCTTTTTTATTTATTTTTTATTCTTAATTAGTCATTAAATTTGTCAATTATTTTAATTTATTCATTCATTTTCTTGTCGGCTTAGTCCCTTTATTAATCCGGGGTCGCCACAGCGGAATGCACCGCCAACTTATTCAGCAAGTTTTTACGCAGCGGATGCCCTTCCAGCCGCAACCCATCTCTGGGAAACATCCACACAAACATTCACACACACACTCATACACTACGGACAATTTAGCATACCCAATTCACCTGTACCGCATGTCTTTGGACTGTGGGGGAAACCGGAGCACCCGGAGGAAACCCACGCGAACGCAGGGAGCACATGCAAACTCCACACAGAAACGCCAACTGAGCCGAGGCTCGAACCAGCGACCTTCTTGCTGTGAGGCAAACGTGCTACCCACTGCGCCGCCAATTATTTTAATAGTCTTTTTAATTATTTTTCTTATTTATTTAAATAGATTATTTGTTATCATTTGTACATCCAGCTGAGGTCTAAATCTGAAAGTGCACCATCTTTAAAACTATTGATTCTCAAAAAAAAAAAAAAAAAAAAAAGTATAGAGTCGTTTATATGAATCGTCTTGAGTTCAAATCTTTTGCTGTTCTGTATTGACATCAACATAAAACATTTCCATATGTTGGACCAATCACCACAGCTTGGAAGAATGAATAAACTAAACAAATCATAAGGACGTCATTGAGAAAATTAGGTTAAAATAAATGCATATTTTAAGACAATTAACGTGTTTTTTGACCTTGCATGCATATCAGCCTCTTGTTGGAGACCCCCAAAACCAAAATATTATATTTTTTAATGCATAATAGGGGCTCTTTAATTCTAAGTTGATGTTGTATTGTGTACCTGTAGCTCTCTGGACAGTGTCATGCCTGAGATATCAATAGGTTGGGGGCTATAGCCATGACTGGGGTCATAGGTTGCCTATTAAGAAAGTAAGAGAACAACATGAGTTATGATATTATACCCTTATTAAGAGCACCAATAATGTATGCAATTTGTCGTTTAATGTTAGACACAAAAACACAAATCATGGCTGAGCTGTATGTAGCCTGTATTTAGTTACATATGCATGTTATGTATTGATAAATATGTCTATATACTTGTCTTTTCTCACCTGTGCAGTCTGTGAGATCTTACGGGCTGTTTTCTTCTCAACTTTCTCATCCTCTCCATCTCTGGCTTTGTCCAGTGTCCACTCCCAGGCAATCATGGCCTTGATGGACTCTTTAATAGGCCAGCGGTAGATTTCTTTATCCTAATGCAAAACATTTGATGTAAGGAACACACGATAACAAAAACAAACACTGTAGTCTTAAAGAGATCGAGTAAAAATAAACTCGGTTGCCTTTTCAGAGAATGTTTTGTAAGGTCTGAGCATGGGATGAGTCTTGGCATTTTCATCCATCACCTCACCAAATGTCCAGTTGTTTTGAATCTGATGGATTATAAGACAATGGTAAGACTCTTATACAAATACATAAATAAACAACAACAACAACAACCTAGGAACACCATAGCAATCTCACAGAACCCACTAGACATGTTACAAATAAATAAATCAATCATATGTGAACAAAAGAACAATTTGCATACTTTTTCAAAAGCCCATCTGTCGTGCGTATATTCTGCATATCTGTTGATGAACCCGTCCAACTTCTCGGGAATTATAGTGCTATAAAAAAGAGAAAATAAGCAATCAAGTATTTGACAATTTGTCAGTTGTATTAATACCACTAAATAAATGTATTCAATAAACAAATGTACTTAGTGGTATCAACAGGTTTGGGGTCAAAGTTCCCTTCAGCATCAACAGAAGCCTTTTTTTCGGTTTTGGAGGAGTAGCTGGCGTCCACATAATCAGGAGGAATTGCACCAGCGATCGCACATATACAAGGCATGGCGATTTTGAACAGCTCTGCATCGAATTTCTATTGGGGAACACAAATTACAAAAGCTACCATTTTACTCTGTCTACCCACTGCATTTTGTAACAGAAACACACTAAGGCTGAGTCCGAAATCGCCTACTACTCAGTAGGTACTACATTTGAATTCAAATTTACTACTCGACCGTTAGAAAAGTACGCTCTATCCGCTTGTTAAGTGTGACGTCACGCGAAGCGGCTTCCGGGTCCAATCGCTCTATTCAACTGAATGGGGAGACTCATGAAATGGTAATAATAAACGTTTACAAAGCGATTTAATACTTTCGAAAATCACGATCGCAGTATATATGTCCATGCCTAATATCCGATGTCAGAAAGTGATTCATTTTTTTTAAATTGTTAAATTTTTGGTATTTGTTATGCAGCAAGCCCAGAGATTGTTGTGTACACTATGATTTTATATAAAATTAACTTTAATGTGTGATAGGAATAAAACGTGATTATAAACGAATGATTTCTCCACTCAAATGAATGGCGGCTTGGACCCGCAAACAGTAATACATACGTCACAAACACGTCATCACTTTACAAGCGGATACCAGTGGTCTCAAACTCAATTCCTGGAGGGCCGCAACTCTGCATAGTTTAGCTGCAACTCACACCTGCTTCATAGTAGTCTTGAACACCTTGATTAGTTGCATCAGCTGTGTTTAATTAGGGTTAGAGAATAACTGTGTAGAGCTGTGGCCCTCCAGGAATCCAGTTTGACACCTATGTTCTATACAGTATAAATGATGAATGTGAGTAGTATGAATGGAACTCGGACATACTACATCCGCTATTTCTCAATATCAAGTAACCTACTTGTGTCAATTGGGTCCCCTAATTCCCACTCATGAATTCACTCATGGGATAGCATAGCATAGTGTCCACCGGATGCATACTTCATAATCTCGCCGGAAGTAGTAAGTCATCCGGGTACTTCTCATATACTGTTTTTCAAATTCTATGAATTCGGATATACTGTACTACTCGATTTGCATGCTGTTATTGTATACTGCACTATATAGTATGGAAGTATGCGATTAAGTTTTAAGTTTATCTAAGCTTCTGTTATACCAACTATGTATGTGGGACTCTTATTTTAAAAACGAGATCAGCATAATAATGCTCTCAGGTAAAGCAACCAGCTACAGAGCATCTCAACAAAGCTTGTTGTCAGAATGCAAAGTTTGGAAAAGATGCCTTTATTTAACATCTGTTTAACTGTATGTTGTGTTAGTTTAATTATTAAGCTATTTCTGTAATGAGGCACATTTGAGTGTTTACTGCATGTTTGTGCATTGTGTTACACCTCTTAGCTCTTACTGGTACTTTTTTTTAAGTGAAAAGACACTAGTAAACTTTAAAAACACGTTTAAGTTAAGGTTTTTATTAATATTACCATGTTACTCTGTCTATTCACTGCATTTTGGGACAGAAAGACACTAATCTACTTCATATAACCTTAGTGATGTTGTTTTATCTTTCTTTTGTTGTTGCTGTATTCCCACCTTGTGAGCCAGAGATTCAAAGATCCCCCAAAAGAGTTTACGGGTCAGATGAAGCTCCTCTTCTGATGATACGCCAAAGTTAGCCCAGCCATTAGGCAAGCAATAATATTTCCAACAACGCTCATAATGATTGGTAAGCAGCTGTAAAACAACCAAAAAGAGATGAGATAACTATTGCAACCAGCTTTAATTTAAAATTAATTTATCATTTCACAAATGTGTGACGATAAAGTTCAATACCTTAAGGGGCATTTTGGCATACTCATTCAGAATAGGCACATCAAATACTAGCCGCCTGAGAAGGTGCTGGAGCATGGAAGGGCGCAGATACCTGTAAGGCAAATTTCACAATAAGCAACCACTAAAATGTCAGGTAAACTAAACATATTTTGCATGCAAGGTTGTACTATTGTTGTTTACTGTAGAGCACAATACTCACCTGCACAAAGACATGAGGCATTCCTCAATAACATCTCTTTGTGCTTTAGTTAGCGAGCGTCCTCGAGACAGCCTGTAGATGGTGTGAAGCATGGAGTCGATCATGATGGCTCGGTGGTCCGTCCCGGCGAACAAAGGAGCACATTTAGTGATGAGAGGAAGCACGGCGGAGCACAGGTAACGGTTCAGAGCCAAGGCCATTTCTGTAGTGCTGAATGCAGCCTTAGAGAAAGAACAAGATATTAAGCGTTACGTAGAGAGAGGACATGAAATAATACACACATTTCCCATTGTAGTACTATTGCTCAGTGTTGGTCATATCATTTAAATGTAGTGAATGTTAGTAAAAAAGGTATGGTGTGCATCTTACTGTGTCTAAGGAGGCTGCCGCCCTCATATCAGGCAGGAAACCCACTTCTAGTACATGCAATAGGAAGTCCTGATTGTCGATGCCATAAACTCTGTCCAGGAACAGGACCATTGGTGCTTTATGATCAGGAACAAAACTAGCAGACATCTTCGGCTCAATAATGCTGTTATCTGTAATATAAAATAATTAAGCCAAGTAATGTGAGAAAAGGGAGCAGGCATCCATCTATAAGCTACAGTAAAATCAACAAAAATGCATAATGTTAATATTTATCTACCCTCAAATTCTTCCAAATGGGAATGGATTTCTTATCTTATCTCCTGAACATAATTTTAAAAATATATGCAACCAAACATTTGCTGATCCCCACTGACTCCTGTACAAGTTCCTGGAGTCCCGTAGGATGTAATGAAGACCACAACTCACATGATTGCACACTCAGTAACTATGTCATCAAAGTACGGTTTTGTTTGTTGTGAATACGCGCCCTCTAGTGGCAAAAACTACATGCTGTGCCTTTAAGACCAGAACATGACTAACCATTTTCAAAAAAATATATATATATTTATATATAAATATATATAAATATATAAATATATATATATATAAATATATATATATATATATATATATATATATATATATATATATTTTTTTTTTTTTTTTTTTTTTTTTTTTTTTACATCTAACTTTTACTATTCCGTTAGCTTATCGTTACCTTTTCCAAAAGCAGGAATCTGGACTGACAAGCTGATCACACCGACCAGATCCTCAATGGGCACAAGCGACCGAAGAATAGCCCTGATTCTCAAAGCTTCACCTTTACCAGCCTGGATCAACTGTGCAAACAGAAATGAAGTACAAAATCTTCAATCAAATCAGATCTCATTCATCATCACTCAAACATTTACATATAAACACACTTACATGCATCTCAGGAGCACAGCGACCCAGCAGATCAATAAGAGCTGAGTAAAATGACATGATGGCATTTCCTAGGTGCACTCTGTTCTCCTCATGCTGCTCTTCACCTCCAAACCTGACAAAACAGGAATCAGAATCATTTGAAATGTCGACAGACCCTACTTACAAACAAAATTGTGATAATAGGTATTCCAAGGCATTTAACCGATTGATTTTGTATATAATGTACACACCAAACTGTAATAGTAAAGAAATGAATTGCACTTACATCGGGAAGCGTCTGTCTTTTTTAACAGTGGGTCCATCTCTTGCAGGGTCCTCTGAGATCTTGATGGCTTCTTCAATGGCAGCCAGCAGACCATTGCCCCCTTCTCCTCTCAGTGCAGGACCAAAGCACTCAGGCCTCCTGATCAGCAGCCGGACCACCACATTAGCGTTCTCCTCCACACTCTCTCCTGCAGGGTGACCGTCAATTGAAATGTTGCAAAACTACAGAATTTTATTTAAAGTGTTTTTTTTTTGTCTATTACCTTATAAGTATTATCTAAAAGGTCTAAAATGGACTTTGTGGCAACTGTTTGTCTTGTGACAAAGTCTCCTTTTCAATTTTGGCCCATTTTAGAAAAGCTAAAGTGCTAATATACCCACAACATGTCTGATTAGCTGGTGTAAAAACTTTGTAGGTTTAACGTTTAAACAGTTACTGCACTTGACCTTTATATTGCAGAATAAGGGCTCTATTTTGACGCTCCATGCGCAAAGCGCAAAACGCAGGGCGCAAATGCTTTCAGGGCGTGTCAGGACGCGTTTTTGCTAATTTAAGGACGGGAAATCTGCCTTGCGCTTAGGCGCATGGTCTAAAAGGGTTGAGTTTATTTTCTTAATGAGTTATAGGTGTGTTTTGAAAATAAACCAATTAGAGTTTCATCTCCCATTCCCTTTAAGAGTCAGCTGCGTCGCGCCAAGAGCGCATTCGCTATTTACAGGACGCAAAGTAAGTCTAAGTGGAAAAAATTAGCATTTCACAAGCAAACAGTTAACAGTTTTTTAACAGAAAACTGTTAAACAGAGCATCTACTGCGTGAGAATGAGAGATAATGGATCACTTTCACTTTCCCTCTTGGATAGGGAAACCTTTACGCACAGACATCAATTAGTCTATAAATAAATACTTTTGTTTGTTAAGCGCAAATATTAGTTTCAAAACTATTTCGAAATGCAGTTCTAATTTCCAGCGAACGAATAAATGAATAATAATAGCAAAATGTGCTCAAAAACCTGAGTTATATCCTAAAACACATGCTTTTTTTTGCACTGGAATTGAAAGATGACAAACCCCCAAAAACTTGCCTTATTATTGGGGTGATGCTATCTGGAGCAAAAGTCAACATTTAATTTCACAATTATGAGAAAATTAATTAAACAGAGTAATGGATTGTATTTCTGTCTGTTATAGGTATACCATAAATTATTATTTTTATGCCATCCCCCATCACACCTCTCACTCTAACAAACTAGAAAAAGCTATACTCTAAACATATGTAAACTAAACACTTTTTTAAAGAGAGATACAACCATATATTTTACAAACCATTCACAAACACAGCAAAGCGCAGGAAATCCAGATACTTTTCTCCTCCAACTGGGTTCCATCCAATATCCGGGTAACCCTTTGACAAGAGCATAGGGCAGCTCTGCAGACCACAGCCTGCCAAGTACTTTACTACCTGCACGAAGAGAGAGACAAAATGAAAAACTCCTCACAAACTTTTTTTTAATATGTAATTTAGCCTAACGCACCATCTCCAGGTCTTGCTCTTGGAGAGCCAGGGCAAGCTCATTATTATCGATACAGGAAGCAGCAGCAACATCAAGAGGAGTGGAGCCACGCATTCCTGAAAGAGTGATCACTGGTTATATAATACAACCATTAAAATATTTACTTATAGTTTAATATAATACAATTTAAAGACACAGCGTGTAATTTTTCGCTGCTAGAGGGTGTGTATTCACAACAAATAAAAGCATATTTTGATGACAATGTGTGGAATCATGGGAGTTGTGGTCATCATTCTATGGAAAACCTACAGAAATCATGTTCATGTGTAAGCTAAAGTATTCAAAAATGATTGTCATAGTAGTATGAAACAGTGTGAGGCTAAAAGGTGTTGAAGTAAAATGAGACAAAAAGAAAGTGTGATGCAGCATAAAAGCAGCAGAGCTTTTATTATGTCACAGTCCCTCGCTTCCTGTTTGTCTACTCGTGAATGTGTGGAGAAGCAGCGCTGCTTCATCATACTAAATACATTTTGTGCTTCTGTTATAAAGCTGCTCTGTGCAGTCTAATAAAACCCACAACAGACTAAAGCGTTTTTGGTGTTTCTCTGTTTTTTTATCAAATAAATTCCATGTCTCATTAGCATGGTAACACAGTACACAGTCTGTGTCATTAGTTATTTTATTATATATTATTAGAATATTCTCTTATTTGAGTTTTCTTCAAAACATTTGGGATCATTTTCATTTTTGGGACAATTTGCAATCTCATAAAGTATGAAAGTAAAAAAATCCTACAGATTGTGCCTTTGAGTTAGATTCTTTTTTACTAGGCTAAACAAATCCGCATACTGTACTCTCTGAAATTGACACTTTGTATCGTCTGTAGTGACTTATATAATGTCAATAATTCAAGTAGGGAGAACATGTGCAAAACATGCACACATTGTCAGGGTTCTGCCACTCGGGTCTTGTAAATTCTTGTTTTGGTGGCAGAATCCGGACACTAGCTCTGTCTAGTCCTGTCGTGCTCGGCTCGAGGTTTTTTGGGTCGAGCACTTGTTTTGTCATTGTGTGTCTCTGTATGAGCGCCATTTGTAAACGTGCATGGACCATGCGCGTGCCCGCTTGATGCGTTATCTCATTGTCTGCGTGTTCTAGTCTTGTTTAATGTGAGCGCATGGCTTGTGTTGTCTCTGTGTCATGTGCTCTCCCGTCTATTGTCTAGTCCCACCCTCCTTGTTAACCCATTATTAGTTTATTAGATTCACATGTTTAACACCTGTTTGTTCACCTGTGTATTATTTTAAATCTGCTTTATATTCTCCTCATGTCTACTGTTCTGTGCCAGTTCGTCTATACTCCCCCTGTGTTCCTGCTCCAGTCGTGTCTCGCCAGCCCAGCCGAGTTTGTTTGTCTGTTTTTTCTATAGTCATGTTTTTCCCCCTCGGGGTGGTTTTTGTTGTCCTTTTTGTTTTATTTTAATTAATAATAAACCATCTTCTGTTGCATTTGAGTCCTCGCTCCCTCATCCTTCCAGAACCCTGACACACATTTAGATTGTTGCCAAATAAAAACATGTGAGTACTTGTATACTACTATTCACTATGAAAACATTTGTTCAGGCTTGATGTCTATGATAAATGTTGTTTATAGTGAATGCCACTATAATTAGAGTTGGCTGAACGCTTACATTTCTCATTTGTTTTTTTTCTTTGTGCTATTAAATTTAAAGAGATATTTCCCCCAAAAAGGAAAATTTCATTTTAGGGTGAACTATTTATTTAAGTGAAGTTTACTCAAACTAATTTTCGAGAGGATCAGGTGCTTATGATGGACTATGGCTGGTCCTGCATTAGATAACGCATGATTCACCAATCGGGCAACTCCGAACTCACTATAAATAACCAGAGATTCTTACCTTAGTCATCTGAGTCTTCAAGAATCCCCCCTCCCCACCCATACTCCTCTCTCCTTTTTCTAGATTGGGCGACACGGCGGCTCAGTGATTAGCACTGTTGCCTCACAGCAAGAATGTCACTGGTTAAAAGAACTTACTGGTCCAATCGACATTTCTGTGCGGAGTTTGCATGTTTTCCCCATGCTCGCATGGATTTCCCCAGGGTTCCCCAGTTTCCTCCCACAGTCCAAAAACATGCGATATACGTAAACTGACCAAACCGAATTGGCACTATAGATGAGCTCTTAGTAAGCAGTATAGCTATCCCTATAATCTGTCATTAGCCATTAACAAATTGGGAGAGTTCATCAAGATCTACCTGAGGTCAAACTCCCTTCTCGCCCTGCTAACGGGAGCGAGCCCAGGGCTCAAGGATCTTATAATCTCTGGGCTCTGTCCCAGGAGAGCATGCCAAACAAGCTTTATAATCAATCATCAGCTTGGTGCAAACTCTTGAAAGCACCTTTTGTGGGCTGAGGGGAACTAAAATATACATTAAACATTTATTTTTATTTAGGACTGGTGGTAGCCTAATTACCATGAATCATGAGTAATAATAGTAGGCTTTTATGCCAGTTGGACCTGTTTGGGTTTTTCTCCCTCTCAATAATGCAGTTTGAACCAGGAGCAAATTATTTTACAGAAAACATGAACAATTATTGAAATGGAAGCATATAAAGATGAGTTTCAGTATGAATCTGGCTTTACCCAGCCCAATGCCACTGTTCTGCAGGAGGTAGCCCAGATGATCAAACATCGAGCGCTGATTCTGTCTGCTGATACGACAGAAATAACACAGGAAACGACAGCAGTTGGTGACCATTCGAGGGAATCTGATCTCCTGCAAAGAGCAAATGAAAAACAAGCTTAAACAATCTTTGAATCCAAATGGGTTCTTTACATTTATAAAAGCGTCATGAAATGTTTAATTTTGAACCACATGAAAAAAAACATCGTAATTTAAACGTTTTCTGGAGTTTAGAATCTTTTTCTGGAGTCTGAGTTTGCCACACTTTTGTATAATAAAATAGTACATTTCACAACCTGCCATTTTAGCAGATTGGCTCAATATAAGCACATTTTTAGACTAACAAGAAGGACTTGAGTTCTGCAACTTTTTTTATAGCATAATCTTCTCGCATCTGTCAAAAGGTCAAGGGAATTTGGATTTCTCAAATCATGACGCCTTTTAATATGCTAACATCACATAAAAATATACCTTGGAATCTCCGCCTCCGAGTACGTTCACCATAACCTCCATGACTGTCTCATGCATTCCCAGAGCTCTCATCAAGTTGGGGTGCTGGTAAAATACCCTGTTACTCATAATATTTCTGAAAGAGAAACTCCAGCAGTGTAAGCAAAAGGTATCTATTGGATTTGCACCTTTTATGAGTGTGATCCACTTACCCGATACTCTGGATCATCAGCCTCTCTTCCTCTGGTCCCATCTGAACGATGAGCAAGGAGCGTATCTGTCCCAGACACTCCAGGAGCTCCATTGTGTCTTGTATAGAAACAGCATTAATGATATAAGCTTTGGGCAAAGCTCGAATCAGCTCACCCAAAGCGTCATACTGCCGGTGTAGCAGACTAAACATGAGGCGCACCAGCTCAGGGTTCTGGATGAAAGACTCTTGAGCCCAGTAGATCATGGTGTGGGAGATCAGCTCCTGCAGAGTACCTGTGATACAAGAGCAAATTTTTTTTTTTTTAAGAATTACGACTGGAAAAATATAATGGGATCCTGTATATTAAGTGACAAAAATATTTTTACTTGGTTTTTTATCTTCTTCAGGCTCAGGCTCAGCTTCTGGCTTTTTTCGCAAGCTTTTAACTTTTTCCACCAGTCTGCGTAGGCGCCCACTGAGAGAAGTGTCCACCTCTTCTTCCTGTTCCTCCTCTTCAATGTGCACACCTATTGCAGAAAACCAAAATATTTTCAGGGAAGTACCAATACGGAACTTTTTCCCAACACTGATACCTCCCTATATAGTTGGTACTATATAGGTACTGATATAGGTACTATATAGGTACTAACACTGATACCTCCCTATACCTCCCTATATAGACGATAGTTGATGTATCAGCTGATAAATATATATAGAATTCTTTATTTTTTTTTCTTTTTGCATGATGGAAAAATCAAAAGGCAAACACATCAATCAAATCAAATCAAATCATTTTTATTGTCACATCATCAGCAGCACGTGTCCTATGATAAGTGAAAAGCTTAGGTGCTGGCTCCAGACAGTACAAAATACAGACAGTGCAAAAAACAGACAGTGCAAGTACAATGACTGTAAAATTGACAGCGATATGTACAATGAATAGGTGTCCACATAGTTGTAGGCAGTATTGTTTCAAGTGTGGATTGGTTAAAGTGCAGTGCATGCTATATATTGATGGTGTGCAGTGAGGGTATGGAAGAGTCTGTGTGTGGTGTGTTAAGTGTTCATCAGCCTGATAGTCTGAGGAAAGAAACTTTCCTTCAGTCAGCTGGTGCGTGACCGGATGCTGCGGAACCGTCTGCCTGAGGGTAGCAGAGAGAAAAGTCTATGGCTTGGGTTGCTGGAGTCACTGATTCGCTTGGCTTTCCTCATGCACCGCCTGGTGTTGATGTTCTGGAGGGGAGGGAAGCTCACCTCCTACTACGCGTCCAGCAGTTCGCACAATCCTATGTAGGCCTTTGCGATTGCTGCTGGTGCTATTCCCATACCAGGTAGTGATACAGCCAGACAGGATGCTCTCCACAGTGCAGGTGTAAAACGAGCGGAGGATGTAGGGGCTCATTCCAAACCTCCTTAGACGCCTTAGGAAAAAGAGGTGCTGTTGTGCCTTCCTTAGCACTGCGTCTGTGTGGGCAGTCCCACGTCTCATCGTTATCTGTGACTAGGCCCAACACCGTTGCGTCATCAGCAAATTTAACGATGACATTGGAGCTGTGTTTGGCTGTATAGTCATGTGTGTACAGGGAGTACAGGAGTGGGCTGAGAACAAAGCCCTGTGGAGCACCAGTGTTGAGGATCAGTGTGGACGAGGTGATGTGGTTCATTCTGACCACCTGGCATCTGCTTGACAGGAAGTCCAGGATCCAGTTGCACACTGAGCCGTGCAGACCCAGATCCTGGAGCTTTACCACCAGCTTGGCAGGCACTATGGTGTTGAATGCTGAGCTGTAGTCCACAAACAGCATTCTCACATATGTGTTTTTATTTTCCAGGGGAGACAGAGCAGTGTGCAAGGTGAAAGCAATTGCACATCATCATCAGTGGAGCGGTTATTCTTGTATGCAAATTGCAGAGGGTCAGTGTGAGCGGGCAGTACAGAGCAGATGTGCTTTTTAATCAGCTTCTCAAAGCACTTGCTGAAGATGGGTGTCAAAGCAACTGGACGCCAGTTATTCAAGCATGTGGTTTTAGCTGATTTCGGTAAGGGCACAATAGTAGCTGTCTTAAAGCATGTGGGAACCACAGACTGAGAGAGCGAGAGGTTAAAGATGTCCGTGAAAACCCCCGCTAGCTGGTGTGTGCATGCTTTAAGTACACATGTGGGAATGCCATCTGGGCCCGCAACTTCCCGGATGTTCTTGCGACAGAAAGCTCTTGTTACGTCCGCTACAGAAACAGAGAGTGTGCTGGCGGTTTCGGCCGCGGGAGCGTGCACTGTCCTGGGCTTCAAAGCGGGCGTAGAATGAGTTGAGCTCGTCCGGGAGAGACGCGGCAATGTTCACAGTGGCGGGATTGTTACTTTTAAAGTCCGTGATGTAATTAAGTCCCTGCCACATGCTCCTTGCGTTATTGGTGTTAAATTCTCCCTCTACCTTTTCTCTGTATTGACATTTTGCTGCTTTGATGGTTTTCCTGAGGTTGTAATTTGCTTGTTTTTGTTCCTCAGCATTTCTGGATTTATAGGCTGAAGCTCGCACTGATAGGGCTGTTTGAACTTCACCATTGATCCATGGTTTTTGGTTGGGGTAGATACAGACAGTTTTTGTTGGGACCACGTCTTCTTCGCATTTCCTGATGAAGCACGTGACTGTGTCCGAGTACGCTTCAATGTCGTCATCACATGCTGCCCGGAACTATAGACTGTAAAATATATAAACGTAGTGTCCGTGACGTCACTCGTAGGTTTCTGAACACTGCAAAAGAAGCCACAAGTAGGCGCAGCCAACCGTCGCCATTTTGTTCGCGCGTCATTGCACCCAAGGCGGGATACCAAACAAGGGTAAAGAGGCGATGAGTGAGCGGAGCTACAGACACGTGCTGGCATTTTGCTTGGACCTGGCTCAGACACACTTTACTTTGGGAAAACGCTTCATACTTTATTACCTGTGACTCATTTGTATTCTGAACACATGTGCTTGGTTGTACACTATATCAATAAAGTGTTTAGACTTTTAAAAATACTGTAGTAATACACTGAGCCACTATTCATTGTTCTTATGAAGTTTTCAACAGGAGGAAAACGCAAATTACTTCCAAACACTTTAGATATAGTCTGTGTTAGTAAATGCAAGACTATTAATGAAATCGAGCACAACACTGTATGACAACGCTTCAGATGACTAATCTAGAGCCTACAGCTAATCAATCTGTCAGATTCTGGAGTGCTTTACAGCTCTAAAGAACATTATAAATGATATAGGCCACGTGAATGGTTTGTGAGCACAATTAAGTGCACACAGCATCCCAAATCACCTGATAATTGTAGGAAAAAATCCCAAAAGGCAGTTAAATGTGTAAAGCCACATAAAACAACACAAAAATGAGATGAATATGCCGAGTTCAGTGGCTCATCTGCCAGAGTCAACTGAGGTGAAGTGACGGCGACCAGCGAGACCTAGCTTTCACTCAAGTGGCCACGCCCTTAATTATGCAAACTTAATATAACCTATTATAAAGGAAACGGATGAGTTATAATAAAAATTCACCCCCCTCACAGTTGTCATGAAGATTAATATTAGCTATATGAACCAAAATCGTTCTTTGTACCAGACTGTAAACACTTTTTTTTTACTGCTGTAAAGTTGGACATTTTAACAGTGGGCTCAATTGAAATTTGCTCTATTATGGAGCCAGACTAGCGGAGTTTCAATAAATTGCAGTTTCAGTTACTTCCGTATTGGCCTCCCGAGGGAGAGCGGGAGGTTGCCGCTTGGCCGGAACATATCCCAGTCCATGTGATCAAAACAGTCTTGAATTATGGAATCCGATTGGTCCATCTAGCTCTGAAACGTCCTGAGGGTGGGTGGTTCCCATTTCAGTTTCTGCCTGTAAGCAGGCAAGAGCAGAACAGAAGAGGGATCTGATTTGCCAAACTGTGGGCGGGGGAAGGATTTGTATGCGTCCCGGAACGGGGATTAGCAATGGTCCAAAATCCGGTCACCGAGCGTGTTTGCTGTGATGTGTTGATAGTTTTTTTGAGCGATTTTCCTGAGATTGGCGTTGTTAACATATAACTATATATTAAACATTAAACTAAAACATATAAACAATAAACTATATAAACATATAGTGAACGATTGATTTTATTTTAAACCCTTAACTTTTGAAAAGTTTGAATTAATCTCAGGTTTTGATTAATGAACTGATCTTTCCTATTGCCAACTTTATTTTACATAAATAAAATCTACGGCCTTACAAAAAAATGCATAAAGCGATCAAGTCACTGAACATTAACAAAATGCAAATGCCAGTAATAAAAAATCTAAATAGCAGTAAAACAATTCCACAAGTGGCGGGAAGCAAGCAGATAAAGTTGCTCAACAAACAGAAATAACACAGAATTTATTGGCTTAAAGATATCTCCAAGTTTTCTCGTTATCGTTCCGATAACGAGAACATTAAAAATAGCATTTATCTGCTGATATTGATATGGCCACAGATATATTGTGCACTCCTATACGTTACGTTTAGGCTCCTAATATGCTATGGTTAAAAAAACACGTTGACCAGGAATGTAAGGGCTAAACCAAATCAATGACAAAGAATTAGTGGCCACAGATAACAGCATCTCAGCTAGCTGCAGGACTAGAGGCAAATGCAAATTAGCATGGGTTTTCTTTGTGTATAGAAATTAACTGAATATTACAGCAGTTATTGTTAGTCTATACACCTCTAAAAAGGAAACAAACTTGGAATCAGGCAAACTGCCATCCTACTACGCCTGACAAGAGCTGACATGTACTGACTGCAAAACAAAACATAGCCCGATTTATACAGTAATTACTATCGGCCCACCCCTGACTTGGTGTTTCGCAGCCTAAAGCCTAGTTCACACTACAGGATTTTAAACATCAGCAGATCGCTGTGCCGTTCACACTACATGACTTTGTGTCTTTTAATCTCTGTGGTGTTCACACTACGCGACACTCTGTGAATGATCCACAAGAGGGGGGTCACACACTAAATGATCTGACAACAACTCATTCCCCATCAGCTCATTCAAGCTACCAAACCACAGCCAATGAAATTTTGAGGGAGGAGTCGTCAGAAAAAGCTGAACACTACTGGCTGCTTGTGTGCTGATTACATCACTGACAGCGTTTCAAGCTTTCCAGAAAGCATTTAAAAACATCATCAAATCAGCTGATTTATCAGCGGATTAATCACTCATCTGCAAGGTTCGAGTGGACAGATACACAGAGAGTTTTTAATTTTTGTAATTGTATAACTCTTTGAAATAAAACTAACAAATAACACCTTGCCGTTTTTTTAACTATCAGTGTATTTCTTTACATTTACATTTAGTCATTTAGCAGATGCTTTTATCCAAAGCGACTTACAAATTAGGACAAGGAAGCAATTTACACAACTATAAGAATGAATAAGTGCTATAGGCAAGTTTCAGGTCTGTAAAGTCTAAGAAGGAAAGTATTAGTAGTATTAGTTTTTTTTTTTTTTGGGTACAGTTAGTGTGATATCCAGAGA